TTTTCGCAAGAACATCACAAGCCAAGCACGATTCTCAACTAAAAAAAAGCAATGAAAAGCCCAGAGCAACATAAGAGTGGAGGTACGACCAACAGCCACACCGGGAACAGGACATCAACGTCATTGTACACACATCATCGCCATCGGTGGAGGGGAATTGGGGTTCTTTGTGTTGTTTCCCATCCTTCCCCGAACCGCCCCTGTGGTTCCCTGTCTTGTGGTTCCATGTATTGTGGGTTATCCTTCCCCCCTCGTTAGCTAAGGCGAGAGGCCTGGCTTGAAGGGGGGCATAATTACCGTGGAGAACGTCGACGATTACGCGGATGACGGTGATTGTTTGCTAGGACGAGAGGCCTGGCTTGAGGGGGGAGGGGGGGGAGCATACCATGGGGGGTGGGGGGGGGGGCCTGCGACGCGGCGACGCGCCACCATATATATATATATATGTGTACACACAGGTACATCACGCAGTATAACATGGTATAATGTAGCATAATGTAATATAAACAGATACATAGATTGTAGAAATAGATAACATACATATGCTAGTCTGTGACTAACTGCTACTGTGGTCTTCTCCAACCAGGCGTCATGGATTTAGTGAAACTGCGAACAAATTGACCTGCTGACTGTGTTCCCATCTCCTCCTTCTCTTTCTCACGGCTTTTCTCTTTCTTCCTCTCCTTCCTTCTCTCTCGTTCATTTCAGGCACACTTTTTCTCTCAAAGGATGTTGGGAGGGAGAGGGGCTTCGAGAAAGGACACGCCTGCCATGAAGAGGTAGAAACAGCGGCTGCAAGATCTTATCGCAGAATACGGAACTCGAAGGAGTTGAACAGCAGACAGTTCACAAGCGTGACGTGTGCTGCTTCTACCCAGCGATGTTCTTGGATTCACCTTTTGTTTGATCGTCTCTTCGGCATGAGAAGAAAGCTGCGAGCAGCTTATTGTCAAGGCACCAGCCCCCCTCCCCAAACAGAAAAAAACCATGAACACGATTTGTGAATCCGGGCAGCAAAGCCAGTGTTAGGAGAGAAAGCGAAAGCGCTGGTGGCGCCAATGATTCTGAAGGTTGGGACAAGTTTGTTCAAGAGTCGTGGGGCGAGAAAGCACTGGGGATAACGGTCCTGCGCAGCAGCCTTTTCCAGATCGCCCCGTCATCATCATTGCTATCATCAGTGTAATCACGACTGATATTATCATCGCCATCACCATCGATGTCAATCTGTGGAGCCGGGCCGCCAAGCCAGTGTTGCGGGAGAATGCGAAAACGTTGGTGGGGGGGTTGGGACAAGTTTGTTAAGATCCGTGGAGTGAAAAAGCTCAAGGGAAAAACGTCTCTGCGCAGCAACTTTTCCAGATCGCCATGTCATCATCATAGCTATCAGCAGTGTTATCACCATCATCATCATCATCACCGTTATCATCACCACCATCACCACCGATGGCATCGTCACCATCATCATGTTCTTCGTCATCGTTATCACCCTCGCCTTCAACATGTTGAGCAGTGGTTTTGGGGGGCTGGGACCATCGTCAAGGCTGCTTAAAAGAGTCAGTCCGTCGAAGTAGGGCTGTGCCCCGGAGAACACCCCTCCTACCAATGAAGCCGCCACCGACTTAGTCTCTATCTGACCTTGCGTAGAACTTGCAAGCTGGTAGACACGCGAGCGATGGTGAAGCCACAAGTAGCACATATGTAAGTTGCTTAGCATTGCATCTCTTGAAGCCATGATGGCCAGTATCGGGTTCTCATTGTGGAGTAAGCATGGTGCACTAATTTCCACGCATGCTTGCAAGTCTGTCGAGGATATCTAAAAATCTACCCGTGGCAATTTTTGTATCTTTCACACCTACTGCTTTGAAGGCACATAGCTTCTTTCCCACCGTGTTTCCTTCCTGCATATGATAGTTCTCGAGCGAGCACCGCGGTGCAGGGCAGGAGGCTCAAGGCTTCTCCTTCCTATCTTCTTCCGTCCATGCAGGAAGCAGGAAGCATGGCATGTCAATACGCCCCTCTCACCACGCCCCCCCCTCTCACAACCCCACCCCCACCCAGGTGCTCTTTTGCTTCTCTCTTCTTTTGTTTCACAGCTTGGGAGCCCAGCCTTCCTCTTGCATGGCCCTTGAATGGACTGGCCCATTGAGACTTGAACAGCTCCTGCACAGCAAATCGAAAGAAATCATGTGTCACATTGCTGGACTGACACTGAGGTGTAAACGTCCAGCTTCCTGCAGCGATAAGTGTGAACTGCTGATCTGGAGGTGATCGGTGATCTGGCAGCTGGCCTCACCCTTCAGCAGAGTCATGGATGGGGAACCCGTGAAGGCCAAGCTCTTGGTCAAAGAAAGGCAGCCCACGATAGCAGCCCCCAATGCCTCAGAGGAAGGCGGCACGGCGGCGCGGTGCCCATGAGAGAAACCCAGAAAGTCAGGCTCCCGGCCAGCAAGGGCGCTGCCACTCGGTGGCTCCTGGCCCTCATCATGGCGCTACCACTGACACCTTAGCCATCACCACAGAATGGCAGGCAGCAAAACGATGTGCGGAAGATGGTGCGTCTTGGCGAGGGTCTTCCTGATCTACACTTCCCAAGCGTGCAACCGCTGCCTCGTGTGTGAAGGACACTCCTTGCAAAAATTGTACCCTGCATGCAGGATCGTAGCATTTCTTGTTGATATTAGATGTGTCAAAGGTTGGCCATAAGTCTTCCTGGTCATCCGACTAGCGCCAAGCTTTCCGAGTGCGAAACATGCTCATAGCAGACAGCGCTGTCAAGCCGACGGCAGACCGGTCTGACCAACCTGGGGACGCTGCTGGATGGTGCCATGGAGCAGTGCCGCTTGAGCTGAAGTGTGCGGCCAGAGAGGATCAGAAAAGGTCGGACACTTCCCTGAGACAAGCAGCAGGGCGACGCGGCCTCGGTTTCTGTTTTCACCGCTTCGCTGCAGATGCTGGCGTGATGTCGGCTGCGGGGCTCAAACCCGCTGGTGCAAGAGCTCTGCTCAGCCTTGAAGGAGACTCCACAGGCCAAGAACCTGCAACCCCGGTTACATCATATGCTTCCCATGCACCAATAGGAACCAGACACGAAGACCCCGTGCAGAGCTAATGCAAATGGCGCATAGTGTTCTCCCATGCTTCGCGACAGCCGACGAAGCAGGGTTGTCAGACATCATGATGCAGCAAAACGGCTGTGGGAATATGGCTAGGACTTGCAGGCTAAGCAGACTGTCATGAGCAACAACAGGCCGAATGGAAAGCCACTGTTCCCCAAGCCGCCGCCAGAGTCACAGACAATTCCGTGACGAATTTCGCTACCAAGTCAGTGCAACCTCTTTGCAGCCTCTCTTGCGGAAACCGTAACTCGTACTGCAGCATTAGGTTACGCAGGCCCAAGCCCTAGAGGACCGTGTGCAAAGATTGCAGACCTGGAAATCAGATGACTGACCTTGTCATTCAGTGGCGTCCCTCACTCCTTCTTGTCAAAGCTCACGAACATTTTCGGGCGCCTCCCTGTGAGCAACGACTGCTGGTCCAATTGGTCCATGTGATCACCATGTTGCATGTCATGAGAACCAGAGACGGATTGGCTCGAGATCTCGGGCAGGAAATGATCCGACTGTTGCGCAGCTGCATCAGGGAAGAAGGCCGTGAAGCTGGATGCCAGACCACAAGCATGTGCACTGCCCTCGTGAGCGTCAGAGAGGCATGTTGCGTTGTGGTGGCTGTTCTGGCCAGTCAAGTCTGCTAGCAGGTTGCTCAGAGGCCCAGCAGACACCACACGGCAAGCACAAGCAATCAGCGCAACAGCAAAGGCTTTGGAGGCGGCCATGGCACTTTGAAAGCACTTGGAAGGATGCGGGAACTGGCTGATGGCGATACTGCACGTCTGCCCTGAGCCGACAGACATTTTTGCACGCGGACATGTTGAATTGCAAGCAGCATCTCCGCTACAAATGTGCGGGTCGACCATGGTTCACGCCAAAGCTTTTGACCAACACCCATGACCAGGAGAAAAAGGCACAGGTAGTAAACGAGAAACATGATACTGAGACATCAATACCAAGCGACACTGGATTCGCCGCTGTTGCACACACCCGCCAAAAAAAACTACATGCTGGCTATAACCGGCAAATACCAACTGCTCATCCGGATCGCATGGCATCTCAACTCAGCTTCGTGGACTACCAGGTCTCGACAATCTCAATATTGAGGGAGGGGTGTGCAGTGCGCATGCGCGTGTGCAGCGCTCTGCATGCAGTTTGGGGAAGAGAAACTCTTAACCTGACCGTGCCTTGTGTTGCCAGGCTGCGGGCTTGTCAGTTTGCTTGCAATCTCACTGACACAGGCCAGACACTCTTCCATGGGCACGGTAACTGTTCGCATGTTCATCAGACAAGGAGAAACGGTCGGACACTTCTCTGAGACAAGCAGCAGGGCGACGCGGCCTCGGTTTCTGTTTTCACCTCTTCGCTGCAGATGCTGGCGTGATGTCGGCTGCGGGGCTCAAACCCGCTGGTGCAAGAGCTCTGCTCAGCCTTGAAGGAGACTCCACAGGCCAAGAACCTGCAACCCCGGTTACATCATATGCTTCCCATGCACCAATAGGAACCAGACACGAAGACCCCGTGCAGAGCTAATGCAAATGGCGCATAGTGTTCTCCCTTGCTTCGCGACAGCCGACGAAGCAGGGTTGTCAGACATCATGATGCAGCAAAACGGCTGTGGGAATATGGCTAGGACTTGCAGGCTAAGCAGACTGTCATGAGCAACAACAGGCCGAATGGAAAGCCACTGTTCCCCAAGCCGCCGCCAGAGTCACAGACAATTCCGTGACGAATTTCGCTACCAAGTCAGTGCAACCTCTTTGCAGCCTCTCTTGCGGAAACCGTAACTCGTACTGCAGCATTAGGTTACGCAGGCCCAAGCCCTAGAGGACCGTGTGCAAAGATTGCAGACCTGGAAATCAGATGACTGACCTTGTCATTCAGTGGCGTCCCTCACTCCTTCTTGTTGAAGCTCACGAACATTTTCGGGCGCTTTCCCGTGAGCAACGACTGCTGGTCGAATTGGTCCATGTGATCACCATGTTGCATGTCATGAGAACCAGAGACGGATTGGCTCGAGATCTCGGGCAGGAAATGATCCGACTGGTGCGCAGCTGCATCAGGGAAGAAGCCCGTGAAGCTGGATGCCAGACCACAAGCATGTGCACTGCCCTCGTGAGCGTCAGAGAGGCATGTTGCGTTGTGGTGGCTGTTCTGGCCAGTCAAGTCTGCTAGCAGGTTGCTCAAAGGCCCAGCAGACACAACACGGCAAGCACAAGCAACCAGCGCAACAGCAAAGGCTTTGGAGGCCGCCATGGCACTTTGAAAGCACTTGGAAGGATGCGGGAACTGGCTGATGACGATACTGCACGTCTGCCCTGAGCCGACAGTTTGCGTTCAATCATCTTACAGGTGTCCACGACGGCCACCGCTACTAATCTTTACGATGACATTGTCTTGCTAAGTGCTGCATTACGCCGCGACTGGCGTCCCGCCCCTCAAACACCAACATGAGCTCATTCCTGCAACTTGCGCGAGTCTTTCATGCCTTGATTGTTTTGGAACGATGCCATGACAGCCCTCAGGGCTGTGCAGCAACTGACAAGGATGGCAAGTCTCAACAGAGCATCGCGTGGGCTTCTGTCCCTTCTTCGAAGCGGATACCCGAAAGCCCAGCAAAGCCTGCGTGCTCACCGCAGAGTCGCTCTTTGCGACGCTAGTCCTTGTACTTCCGTCTGTATTCAATCACCTGAGCACAGACGCAAATTCGGATGACATGTTTTTTCAACATCAATCCAAACAACCCGTCAGTCTACACGATGAGACACCTCGTGCTGATGCAAGCTCTTGCCAAGGCTGCAGCATACTCCACATAAACGTCTTCGGAGTCGAAGAGTACAAACTCCCTCATGAGAGGCAGTCGGCTGCAGTCTTGCATGCTGACTTGAATCGCCCGCCTGTATGTCCCACGCGTTTTCTCGCGGTCTCCACACACGGAGTCGTATGGACCCTCGATGCAGGAATGCACCAGTTCCTCATACCGTCGAGTAGAGTCTCACACGACTTGCGTGAAAGAAGTATAGCACAAGCACAGCACCTCGGGGTCCGGATTTACCTCGTCCGTGTAGCGTACTTTGCCACCAAGAACTCGGCAGATCAAGACCTTTGACAGTTTGGCAGAGCCAGCCAATGTGCACGCAAGCCTTCGGACCTGAGGACCATACCGCATAGAGCCCTTTCTCGTTCGGCTTTGCATACTCATCAGCCTGCGATGCAAGTAAAGTTGCTCCAACCGTCGAACTCAACGCCTAGCGGCTGAGCCTTGGTGATCGACTCGGCGAAATAAAGTCCTGGCGAAAGCGACTACCACCCGACTGCCAAAGCCTCGAGACTCTGGAGATCAGACCTTTACCATACAGGGTGCCAGTGCTGGAGCCAGCGCGGCTGACTTTGAAGTCCGTCTGGCCTCGAACTCCAGAAAAACATCAGAAAGGCGAAGGCTGCTTCAGTCCAAGCTATGGCTCCAGCAAATCGCTTCAGCAGCGACCGGGTTTGTTCCGTGGAAAAGATACCACTCGTTGCCTCAAAAAACACATCAGCCCGGGCATGCTCTGAGCAGGAAGACCCCCGCTCTCCAAACAAAACAGTCTGTCCAAGATGCACTCGCCGTGCAGACGGTTGGCCTCAATTTTGTGCTGACCGTGCGAGGTGATTTGATGCCACTTCTACCGAGCTCCACGATGTCGTCAATAACATCCACAATCTGAAGCCTATACTAAGAAGGCTTGCGGCGGCATGCCCGGTATGCTTCAGAAAGACCCTATTGCACTTGTGAATGAGCTTCAAACGGCTGGCAGAAAAGGCTAATGCCGTCTTTGTGCCTTCGCTCCTCCAATCTTCTCCATTGCCAGGCTCGTCTTAACATCCGGAAACAGCTCCTTCGAAGTCGCGACTCGTGACACATGTCACAAAGTGCTTGTTAAAGTACCCCTAACTTGTGCCACTTTGCCAGGGGTCTGGGAGATTTTCCCTGGCAAGCAAATCACCACGGCGGCAGGCATACTCCTGGGAGCTGCAAAGGCTCTCTCGCCCTCGCTGTCGAAAGATCAGAACGTGTGCCTCCCAGGTCTTTTTGTTCTCGTTGCGCTTGACGTTCACCACCTCAAAGTCGGCAGGAACCTGGCCGCATTCTCCCGGCATTTCAAAACTCTGTCGTCAGCCGGGTATTGCGGAGCTCGGCCAGGCCTTGGGATTTGTCGGATTGTGCTTGGCACGATCCTTCGTGAATGCTTTCCTTGGCAACCGTGATTTTTCGTAGGGTCTGTGTTGGTGGGTGGTGCTGTCGTGCGGCTTTGCTCGTGGCCCTGTCTTCTCTGTTACCCACGTCGCCTCGCACACCCTGCCTTGCCCAAACACTACGAATTTCTGGAGGGTCACACAAGCCGAAAATGGAACACAACCGTCATTGTGACTATAGTGCGAACCCTCGCTCGCCAACCCTCTTGCTGCGGGGATGCGCTGCTTCATGGGATTGGAACCATCAGAGATTGACATTGGCAACAAGAATCCAGGTATTCGGGCTGCTACTGGCGGCGGGGCACTGCCACACCTGTCTGCCTTGCCTTAGCGCTGTGGCAACTACTTGTCCTTGTTTTTGAAGTGCAATGACTCTTTCTCCGCTAGGCAGCCTTGCAGGCCTTAGAGTTCCCTCCAGACTCGTCTTTAAATTCTCGGGAATGCAGTTTTCATGCTCAAACCGACAACAACCACCCATTCCGAATCAACCACGTGAAACTGGGAGTCACGCCTGTACGTTTCTTTCAACAATTTCTGCCACTCATCTATCTTGCCTGCGCAGAGTAGCATGCAGCGTGCTCGAGTACACGAACGAAGAATAGGACGAAGATGCACGTGCGCAGACAAAGGCAGAGACAGCAAGGCAGGACTCAGCATGGAGATTGTACTTGAGGCATGCAAGGCTTGACATCCTGTCATGGGAATGAGCTCGTTGAAATCTCCGTCGTGGTTCTGCCAGTAGTCCGGGAACCTGAGTGTACAGATTCCCGCCCTCAACCGAACCAGGTATCTGCAGACGGAGTGCTGTGTGGGGATCGGACGGAACTTCCCCAGCGGAATCTCTGGCTCTTGTCGTGTGCAGCCCTGCCTTGTGCTTGCAGTCCTCAGAATACTATGTCAGTGGGACCACATCTTGGACCACATCAGGGACAACGGAACACCAGCCTTGCATCAACATGCAGTTGCCACACAGGCTGCTGACGTCTAAACTCTGCTTCTACTTGCGATTCAACCCGCAAGGAAAAACCAGGAGAAAGATGTCCTTGCACTTCGCGTCGTGCTTCTTCTCCTGGCAAAAATGTCACAACCCGCTACCGCACCCAGGACCAAGCTCAGAAGGCAGTACTGGCACCTCTGTTTACATGAATTGGCTGGCAGCCTCGTGTCCGACGAAGTTTTCACAGGGGCAACCCAGCACCCCGCACGGCGACGCCCGCATCATCGTAGTTGCAGACCTGATACTGCAGTGACTTCCTCAAGTCTGCAATCCCAACAAACCCACCGCACACGCAAAACTTGCCCAGGCTAGGCAGCTCACTTGCCCAGCATCTTCTTGACGCCTCCGCAGATCAAAGCACCATAAATCTCAGAATGCCACACAGTGTGGTGATGCGCTTTGCGGCTAAAACAGACAATAAGACGAGATGACGCAATATCCTAAACTAGAAGGCACGCAGAATATAGCAGGTCATACCCATACCATCCATGCCACTGCATGGATACACGTGGCATAACGAGCTAGGTTTCAGTCATGTCGCATTTCATGCATAGAGGTCCCTGACACAACGTGACACACTGCGGCAGGCTGCATCTTTCATTTCTTGTGTCCATGTTTACAGGAGCATGTTGTATGTTGCGTGTGTTTTTGTTGGTGGTGTCTGGTTTGCTTGGTCGGTTTAGCTTCTGATTTCGCGCAAGAGAGAGGCCTTGTGTTGCTGTTGTGTTTGTGGGTGTCTGTGTGGTCGTTTCTTGTAGCTTTGTTAGTGTTACTGGCGATGCTATTGGTGGTAGCTCGCCTCTGTGAAGTTTGCTTGCAACACTGCTTCTCTGGATACGGTTACCGTAAGCTTAAGCCTTCTAGATCCTTGCGGCAACAGTGTCCAACTCGGGCCCATAGTCCTTGCAATCTCCAGACCCCGCGACCCCCGAATCCCAACCCCGAAAGGTGGCTAAAACCAAACAGTCGTGGCAATCAGAACTTGCAGTGGGGCTTTCTGGGACGGTAGCACGGTAGCACTTGCGCACATGTCGTTCAACCTCGCTCCCAGTCGCGATTCTGTCCGCTAGTTCTCAATCCAACTACCCACTCGGTCCATCCTTAGCTGTCCCTGCTCGCCTAGCTCCAGGCCCAGGCGTGGCCCAGCCCAGGCGGCGAACTCGCCGAAGTTGACGACACCATTGCCGTCCTTCAAAGACCACTGGCCACGGTCGAAGGTGAAGACAAAGAACAACCGGAGCCCGAGGTATCCAACAAAGGAACGAACGCTTCGCTTTCCTCGTCGAGATGATTCCATGCCTCCCAAGAACAAGAGTTGACTCTGACTCTGTCCTTGCAACTGTCATGAACATCATGCGCCTCGTCAGTAATCTCAGGGAGCGCTCCGCAGCATTCCCTTGAAAACGGCTCATGTTCAAAAGACTTGCGGAACAGTGGCCTGAGGACGTTCGAAGCTGGCCTGATCTTGCCCAGAGACGCTTCAAGCTCTTTCCTTGAGAGCTTGCCAGAGCCGTCTGTGTCGCTCCAGTCCTTGGGCTTAGAGCTGCGTAGAGCTGCGTAGAGCTGCGCTGCAGAGGATTCGACTTCGAGACACTGGGCTGAGCAAGGCACGAAAACCACTCTGAGCGTGATCGGCTCCGGCTCGAAGCCCTCCAGGGAACCCCCCCCTCCCCCGGCCTCCCCGGGCCTCCCCCGACCGTTCTCTCTCCGTCAAAGCACAGCCAAGGCAAAACAGGTCAGCTGTCGGCTCTCCTTTGTCGTGGAGCAGGCGATGGCATAGTCCTGCCCAGCCCGATGGAAGTCCGTGAAGGATTTGCTGACAAGGCTGAAAGGTTCATCCAACAACGATTTTTCCCGGCTTGCCTTTGACGGGTTTGGCGGCTTGCCACGTTTGCTCATCATCGCTAAGTTTGCTGAGGGACAAAAGCTCACGCTCGCGCTCTTCAATGGCACGGCGGACAGCGTTGTCATCAGATTCCAGCAGCTGCTTCATGCAAATTGCTCGAGCAGCTAAAACTTGAGCCTCTAGCGCCTCCAATCGGCCTAAGATTTCTTGACGATCTTGTGTAGCAGATGCTGTCAAGCCGGAAGCGACCTCGGCCTGCTGATACTCTCGGACATGTCCTTTCACAGGCAGCAGCTTGTCCGACGGTAAACTCCTCCAATTTGAGATCTTGTTGCTTTCAACCGGCCTGTGCCCCTTTGCACAAGCTAGTGTTATGTGCGGTACGAGATTGACTGAAGGGCATCCCAGTACCCCAAGGGCGATTACACCATCAGCCCTGCCCATGCAGAACGGAAGTAGTTCTAGACTGTCTGTGGGTTTCAGCTTGCGTATCGACTCTCTCACCTCACGTGAAACCTCGCTGTCGTTGGATCGCGCATCGGCCAGACTGCCCAGGCAGATGGTCATGTGGTGGGCGAAAACTTGCCAACCAGAAGGCACAAGGTCACGGAAGGTGTCAAGAACCTGCTTGCAGGACTCAGCATCTAGTTCCAGTCCTGTAAAAACCGGAGATCCTTTACCTTGATCGGGGGCTGACGCTCGTCGTTCATGGTTCTTGGATTCTGGCACTTCTGGCTTCTTGAAGACGTGAAAGCACGGAATGGCGGAGGTCTCCGTCTGGAGCATGCGACATTCCAGCTCCATCTCCGCTGCCATCTTGGACAGTATCACTTTCTGTGCATCGTCTGCATGCATCACCAACGCCTTCTCTGTTGACGATGCAAAGCGCCTGAGCTCTTCCTCCAATTCTGCGGTTTCTGCGGCAGGAGGCGCCTCCTCCGCGTGCGCCGGTTGGAGGGAGTGGTTGAAGCCGAGGCGGAAGAGGTCCGACCAGGTCTCCTCTTCGGAGATTTCCGTTTGGCGCTCGTAGAGCTGCACAAAGCCACGTAGAGTGAGGCCGGCAGCTGGACCTCCCTCCTTCCAGTGGAACATGGACCTCATCTCAGATAGCTCCACCTCCGTAAACTCCCTACCATCCTTGTTGGCTACACGGCTAAAGCCCTGCAATTCTGCATCGCAGAGCAGGCCATCTCCGTCAAGGTCGAAGCGTGTGAAGATCTCAACAAGAACCTCCTTGAATCTTCGGGAAAGCTCCCCGTCTTTCGTGAGAGCGAGCTTCTGAAAGTTGGGTTCAAGCTCTTTCGAGGACTTCTTGTTCTTCTTGCCCATGGCTCTTACCAACTTACCACATCGATAGGCTAGACGGACTCGACGCAAGCCAATCCAGATGCTGACTGTTTGCGGATGTCCTGATACTGCATGACTCCTGACGATGATGTGAGTGTGTGTTGTGTGTGTGGGGAATGTGTATTCCAGTTGCGATCAGCGATGATGGCTGCCGGCACTCCAAGCCGAGCATCTCGCGACACGAGGCTCTGAAGGCTCCGAGATGCTCTGAGGAAGAGGACACAACATCTCACAACATAGGCATGTCACGGCGTGTCCTCGTCAAGGGGGTGCGCCATGGCCTGACCGAAAAAGCACGGAAGAGCCCGCGGCTCGGCTGCTCCACTATATGCGATACGCACAATCTACACCCCAGGTTTTTCTCCCCGCCGAGCCTTCAAGTGGGCTTCGCTGCGATCTCTGCACTTCGAACCTTTCCCACACGCCTGTCAACTGGCAATCTGTAACCTACACAAACTATAGACTAGAGCCAGCACGGCGACCTTCCGTGAATCAACCGGAGGCGGGGCTTTCCCTCCACAGGTGGCATCATGAAATCCACCACCCTGTCGAGCAAAGCTTTTGCGATGGAAACAAACCTGCTAACTCCTGACATGGTAGCGAGCGAAAATCACCTTGGGCTTGAACCTTGTTGATGGCACACATCCTGCACGCGTGCAGTGACACTGACGTGCAGTAAAAAGCAAGAAGTAGAAAGAAGGAGAAACAGACGAGACGCCTGCAACAAGTATCGAACTTCTTACCTCTTCTCGTCTCGCCAGGCTGAACTCGCCTCGACTGGAGGCAAGTCGACAAACAGAAGTTTGCTTTTGAGATTCGATTTACTTCGACTTCGAGCGAAGCAGATGCGGTGACACGTCAAGCATCATCAGGCCCACACCGCACAACGGGCAACATACTCCACTTAGAAAAGCCGAACTTGAAACGAAGTCTACCGCTGAGCCGGGACTGATGCCTGAACGAGGAGACTCATGGAGCATTCCCCCTTGAAAAGCTACGACGAACAAGTGCAGTTGCAATATCCCACATTACTGTCGAACACCGTGCCTTGCAGTGTTCAAGCTGTGGCTTCGACACTTCTCTGGTTGCGGCCACGGTGCTTGCCACAGGCGAACTTGCAAAGCCTTGCCTGCCACCACGTCTGACCCTACTTGCAATCACTGCGCATCCCTCATGTGCGATTGAATACGTTTCTCCCATTATTGATTTTTGTTGATGCTCCCGTGCGCTGGAGCCTCGAGGACGCGAGACCCTCAGATCACTCCCAGCCCGCGTTGTTGGCTCATTTGGGATCCGCTGTAGCCGCGAAAGTTGCTTGGGCACACCTCCCACTAGGGAAACGGACGTTCCGAGCCGTTCCAGCACCTCGAAGTAATAGCCAAAAAAATTAGGTACAACAGCTCAGGCCATTACACCCCAACTCCTGCACCTGTCATCAAGGTTTCTGGTTGGAGGCTTCTCGGGGTGGCCGACGGCTATGTACGGCAAACCAACCACAACACAAAAACACAAAATTTGTTTGTACTGGCCACCACAGTCACAGCATTCTGTACGGAATCCGAGTCAAAAACCCATGTGCCCTGCCACAGACCCAACCCAATGCCACATTCCTTTCACACTGAAAACCGTAAACTGATCTGCTCACCTTCAGCATACTCCTGGTACGATACGTGCGCCCCACAGATGGGATCTAAGCACAGAGCGCGTGCACTCAAAACGCTGACTGAACAATCAAACAGAGCGATGCACGAAAAAACTAGCCGTACGGTCAAAGAGGAAGACATTGTAGTCCCGACGACGCAATCGTTCGCTGCCGACCGCCGGAACAAGAAGCTGCAGCCGCTGCGAATTCTGCACTCTCCCGCTGTCGCCCACCGTCTGACGACAAGGAACATATCAGGGTGCAGAGGGCATGCAAGGGGCGAACCACAATTCGAGCCGAGTGCTGCCCGGGATGCAGCAAACTTCTCCGGATCCCACCACACAAAACGCATATCAAAACCTTCCTGCTCACGCCGATCAAGTCCTTCCGAGCCAAAGCCACACTGAAGACCGTTGCAGATTCCAGAAGAAATTTCTGGAGTGTTGTGAAACCGACAGCTTCCCAACCCCACGGAGAATTTCAAACGCGGAGCTCTGGATGGGCAGCAAACCGTGAAACCTGAAAGGAGCAACGGCTAGCTAACTCTCAACCATGAGAGCAGTCATGGGCATAGAAATGATGCAGTAAGCCCCACCGTTGCAGGGAGCGACGAACATAATCTAAACCTCGACGGGATCTGTGGGTGTCAAGCCCATTCCGAAAACCACTCGGGTAGGCACTTCAATTCAGATAGCAAACAGTAGACACTGCTTTGCCAACTGCAGAATTCGCAGAAAGCACAACCATTCTGGGCAAGGTTCATAACTCAAGACAGAGGCATGGCACACTTCCTAAAAACAATCCAAGGGGTTTGAGGACTTGTCGCAAAAAGACCCAGGCGAGTTCTGCATGACATGTCTGTCTAGCCTGTCGTGGGACTGCCTGCCTCAGGGTCATAGTCCTCCATGTTGCAGTCATCACTTTCGAACACCTTGCGCGACTTGCCATTCGTGTGCAGGCTTTGGAGCCAGTTCACGAGCTTCCGGCGGCTGGTGGAGACCGTGGAGGGGGCTCGTCGTCCACCGCTACTGGCAGTGCAGCCACACGGCTTCCTATCGCTCCCGTTGGAAAACGCGGCGGCTTCCTTCTGGGTCAGAAACTGCCTCCGCTGCCTGGCAAGCCTCAATTCACACCATGCGCTCAGTCACTTCTGAAGAGATGCGGACTGTGCGACAAAATTGAGAGGTGACAGCTCCAGCTTCAATGGCAATTCTGTAAGCAAGCGGCCCCCATCTTGGTAGCTTCCGGGATTCTGCGTTACGTTGCAAGACCCACAACTGCAAAGCTGTGCTGTCTGCTGGCATGAGATGAATTAAACTTACATAGCGTATGTGTGTGTGTCATGGCAAGCTGCTTGAGCTGGCCAACCATTCGGGGCTGTCACAGTTCCAAGCAGTCTCCGCGTACAAACCTCCGTGTTGAAACTTGGGCCAATCGCCCCAAAAGCGCCTCTTTCCTGACTTCGCGTTCGACGTGGCAAGAGATCCTCCATGGGCTCCTTTCCGTATTTGCCCGACAGAGTTCCTCCAGCGGCACTGACAGATTCATCAGCACCTAAGCTCTGGAGTTATTCATCTCGCCCTGCCCTGACAAACCTCTCCAGTGCACTTTGGCAGAAGGGCCAGACAACCCCATTCAACACCTCAGCGCGCTGGTACTGAGGCACATAACACATTGACAACTCTAAGAGCCTGCCCGCGAGGCACGGCAGCAAATTCCACTGGCACTCAGTCTATCCACTGGCCCAAGTAGTTGTAGCCTCGGTGGTGACAAATGGAACTTCGTTTAGCACAGAGCACAGCCTCAGGTACAGAACGCACGTTTCGATCAAGCTGCCTTGGGACGAAGACCGTGTTCCTGCAAGCTTTATCAGTGCAGGATAGGTGTAGAGTCACGAAACTGTTCTGAGCGTCTTGCAACTGATCCTCCGGGAGCCATCACATGCCGTAGTCGCCCCAAGGGCCTTGCAAGGCAACGACGTGAAACCTTGGCCCTTGAACGGATCAGCTCAAACTCGCGACTCCCGACCTTGCCCTGCAAGGCTCATGTGGTACCTGCCCAGGGATCGCGGGATCACGTCTGCATCGGCTGGAGCAGGCTGCGTGAGGTTGAACACTTCCAGGCGCACGCGTGAACATCGTTCATGGCGTGTTGCCGCACCTGACTCGTGTGCAAAAGCATCCTGCAACTGCAAACTAGCATCCTGCCTTGCGCTCGTGGTGAGGGACGATATCATGGAACATGAAGGTTGCAACCAGAGAAACCTCGAAAGGCTCGAGGCAGAGGGCTCCGTGAGCACTCGGCTGAAAGAACCGAGAGAGCAGCATGGTCCGATGGACGATTACTGGACGGGAGGGCTGTCTCCTGCAAGATTCTAGATAACAAGCCAGGTTGTGTGGCACAGGACACTCAAATCATTTCTCTGAGACTGAGGTCCTCTTTCAAGCTCTGCTCGTCGTCCACCTGCGTCACCGCCAGCACCGATAGTGCCTCGAACACGAGTGTACATGCAGTGCGCTGCTCCGTTGAGTTGCTGCACTGGAGAGGCAAGTTTCCTACTCCGATGCCTGATGGGAGAACCACACATAGTCCAGTGCACCCTTGAAGTCCTGCACAGGCAGAACATCGAGCTGTCGTTTGTGGGCCTTGCTCAAAGCTATCTGTCCTCGGTGTAATTGGTGAAGAGTGCTTCCTGACCTCCGGGAACATGGCTTTAGATGCTGACAGCTGAAAGGACTGTTGACAGAAGTCAAGGCTCACTCCATTGCAGGTCTGATATGCTGTGGCCAACTGCAGGTTGTGCTGCATGTGATCTCTCAGCCTCAGATTCTCCAACACCCTTTCCGTGCTAGGCGATCGCGTAATCCGCTTGTAGGGGGCAGGCCGACCTAGGAGCCCGCAAGGATCATGCTTTAGATCCTGGCACAAAGCATCCATTTCAACAGAGCATCTCCGCCCCCTCCAAGTCTCGCCTCATGCTCTTGCATCACTTGACCCTCTCGCAGAAACTGGTAGACCTGAAACCGATCGAAATTTCAGGACGATGACGGGAGACGGTCAACGCCAAATTTATGTCGAAGCAAACAAACACGTATAGGCCCGCGGCTGCAGATTCTGGAGTGGAGTTGAAATCTCCAGCTAGGAGGAGAGGCCTCAAAAACTACATCTGCATCACAGCTTGCATGCAAAAGACAGTCTCTGGGAAAACTGGCATGTGATCCCATCGCGTCTGCTTCAGGTTTTGGAGCAGCAAGTGCGTCTGAGCAATGACAGCAATGCAGACAGAACAATGAACCAAAGTTCTGCTGCCTGCCACAGCTTCACATCCGAAGCGCTGGGATCGCACAAAATGTGGGTGTTCACCTCAACGTTCGCAAAGAAAAACTTGCCAAAACTCTTCGGACGGCTGGATCTCGCGGCCAATGCCTCTCAGCCGTTAGGCTCCGAGCAACTACCAGGCTGTGACCGCCATTTGGCCCGGCCTCTGTTCAGAATCTCCAATGCTCTCATTGGCCAAGAGACCGCGACAGGCCTGGCCACTGGCCGGATCAGCCTTTATGTGCTGGTCCTCCAACAACAGTGCGAGGGCAATGTTTCCTGTGCAGGCATCAAGGATTTGATTGACTTGATGTTTTTGTACACGTCGTGGAGCAAGCGGCGGGCCTTTGGACAGCCTCTGCATGTTGGAAGCATCTTCTCGGCCGAAATGCCTCGCCAGTTCCTGCTGGGACATGCGATCGTAGTCAATCACCTGGCCGAGGTCTTTCACTTGAAGGTCCCAGCAGACTAGCAACACTGGCAACACTTGCCTGCCTGTTTGTCTAGGCGGCGGAAGCGTGTTGGCTTGTAGAATGTAGCACAGCCTGCACGAGTCAAAGCATGTCATAGCTCTCAACAAGTTTGCACGTTGGCCTTCGGCCGTGTACTTCCCTCGGTGGAAGATTGGGTCCTCAACGAATCGATGTGTCGAAGAAGCGCAACCCAAGGAGAGGATATGGCAGCAATGATGCTTTGTCAGCTTGAGTCCCGCTTCTTCTGCTGAAAGACACCCTCGTATCCGGCTTCTTGTAGCCCAGGCCTCTCCATCTTTCTGTGCTATCCGGCCAGGCACCAACAAACTTCTACACAGCATAAAACGACTGCCTGAACCAGTCGTCAAACGCATCCTTCTGCACCTGATATGCACGGGTGCAGATTAAGTGCCTTCGTCGACTTGAACTCTAGCTGAGCCGGCCTCCTGGAGAGTGATGATGTCAGCCGCGTGGGCTTTAAGCTCCTGCGGACATGCTGCTCGCATAAGAGGCGCTTCTGCTTCTGCACGACATCTGCACCAAGCAAGGCCTTCATGATGAGGTGCTTCCTCCAGTTCCACGACAATGCCCACTTCTCGCAATACGGATAAACCTTGTGCTCGCAAACGGAAGGCAACTAAGCAACATGTATGGATGCCTGACCGGCGGGAATCGCAAAAGCTGAGGCGAAAGACCGATTCGGTGGCATATAGGTCTGCAAGCACCTTGTGCTCTCGTCATCGACGCTTGCATGATGGAAAGACTTGTCCCACAAGGTCAGGACATTCCAGTTCATGACTTTGAACTGCTTGTTCAGCCATTCTGCCTAGGCACAGTGGTGCACAAGCTTCTCTGTTCGAACAGCCTTCCACACAAAGGAATCCGGGCTGCAGGGCGTTAGCATCTAGCCAAGGCCGATGCATTCAGGTGCTTCCCGTTGGTGACCATTCGTCGCACACGTACCTCGTCAGACGAATGTGGTCCTGAAGCTCCAAGCCATCAAGCCCTAAGCCTAGCAGCTTGGAGCCTCCTTCGGGGTCGGAATGACCGTGCCCGTTGTAATAACCATCTTGCTGGCTTCTGCAACACTTCCGTCCTTCTGCAGCATCTTTGTGCTAGCATACGGAAGCAGCAGGTCTCAGCATCGATCAGCATCGTTTTTTTAATGCAGTCCTTACGATTGGGAATGATCTCCAAGCGCAGCGGCCGATCAATGTCCTACCCGGACCACTGGGAGGAGACATGTCAGCGTGCGCAGCGATAAAACGGCTTGTGCTGGGCAGTATGCAACAAGAGCCTCCTTCTGAGGGCAGTAGGACCGTGTGTTCGCCTGCAGTGGCAAGCAGATACAGTGTGCAACAAGATCGTCCTAGGATATGACGGGGCTTAGGATCCTCAGGGCTGCTCATTACTACTTTTCCCGTCTTTCCATAAACATAAGAAGCTTGAAGCTCGAAGCAAAGCCTCCGGTGATGTCCCCTGAGTCTTGCACCACTTCTACCCATTCCGCAACAGGCTCCTGGCAAAGCACACATGATACAGTCAGAGCTTCGGTCTCTGGCCTTCAGGTTTCATGACTTTCTGTCGTCCCGGAGTTCTTGCCTGTGCCACTTCGGGCATTATGCCGTTCTAATGTCTTGCGCTGAGCGCAAGATTTCCAATCTCCACAATTACAAGCTACAGTTTGCATGCTGCTTTCGGGTTTCATTGACTGCTGCTGCAGCTAGCTAGGGACATGTCCATATGCTGATGTGTCAACTCGAGCACGGCCAGGCGACTCTACTTCGATATCGGACGGAACACAACCACATGACAGTTTCAAGAGATGCAACATCCGACGGCACGCTCGGAAAAGGATAAACTAAATGCCATCGGCCTGCTTGGCGTCCTCGTCAGCATCTCCATACCTGATGCGAGTCTGCTACAGGGGCTCCCAAGCACAATCAGCCCGACAGCTTCAAGGCTCCGAGCTTCTCAGGTGGGATGCTGCTCCATCCTTTGAGAAAACATTCCTCAGGGGCATTGTGCACGGCATCATGGCTTCAGGATTTTAAGGCAATCTCTCCTTCGAGCAGTAGCACAAGCGCGTCTTCGCCTCGGCACACTGGCTTCATATCGAGAACAAGAGCTGCCTAACCCGAGAATTCTCAGCACTAGACAACGAGCTTCAAAGTCTTTAGACGAGACTTACAACCGCACGCAGACGAAGGATGAGAGCGCAAGTTCAAGGCGATTCAGAGGGAGGGTGCCTGTAAGCTTGCTTTACTGCACTCTGTGCAAGCAATCCATCGAACTGCGGAAGAGTTTCAGGACCCATGCTGAAGCGACACCAACTGCCAGGCTCCACACGACATCCCTGATAAGGGATTGCTTGTGCGGGTGGTAGAAACAAGGCCTCGAAAACGAAACAGTGGTAGAACTGCACAAAGCTTCGAAAGATCTCTGAAAGCTCGGCCTCACAACTGGGCCGCGAAGCCAGCGATAGTTCACGTGAGGGCCTGAGTGACTCAGCACAATGCAACTGAACTACGACCTGCGAAAGGTCTCAGCTCAACACAAGTTCCCTTGTCCTCAAATTGCCGGCCATCCCTGTCCTTTAGGCCGATGTACACAGGTACCTGCTGCAGGTGTACCATGAGGCTTTGAGAGGTCACTGGGGTCGCAGAAGTTGCGCACCAAGGGCTGGAATTCAGGGGGCAGCCTTCCCACCCATATCCCGCGCCTCTGAGACTACGACAGGGCGGTGCCCACGGACCAGTTCAGCACGTATGACTGAAACCATAGGCTGGTCCTGAGCACGTAGGGTGGGTGGGCGAAGCCACCTGAACCGCTCCGGAAGCAGCAACTCCTCGTCCGACGATCTGCTTGAGCTGGAGCCTTTGCTTGCCGAAGGAATCCCGACAACTTCTATGCTTGCAGTGCAGACACAAAGGACGGGGCCGCGTTCTGAACTGCTCCCAGCAGGTGCCATGCTTCCCTGGCCGATAGAAGCCAGAATCGTTCAGAGCATCTACGTTTATCATACTCGCAGCGAGCTGTCGAGAACCTGCCTCACAATCGAGGCGCCGAGGCAGCTACGCAGAAAACTGTCCAGAAATCGATTTGTCCCTAGCTCCGGCGTAAAAGCTCTGGGTTGTTGGGGTAGTCCGCTGACGGTGATCGAATTATCGCAAGTCCGTGGTACTCTTGAGCCTTGTTCGCATAGATTGCAGCAGTGGGATGAGGATTCATCTTCAGCATTTCTCCGCGAGCCATGCAGCCAACTCGCTGTCTTGAAGACTTTTTCACAAGACGGAGGCTTTATCGAAGCTCTGGTGGCCTCTTCTTCTTTTCACCTACTTCTGGTTTGGTGGACTGGGGCGCGGGTTGTTGCTGAGCCCACTTCTTGATGAGCTGTGCCCATTGCTCGCCATCCGCCTTGACCTCCTTGGGAACACTCGCTTCCACCAGTGACTTTATCCAGCATCCCTTAACCCACTCCAAAGAGAACTTGCGTTCCAACACAGTGTTACCGCTTTTCTCATCTCTGCTAAATGTATCGCACTTGATGACATTGAAGCACGTTCCATACGGCACGTCGAGGGACATGATCACGCTTTCAAGCAGGCACCTGTCATCCTCGCATACAACATGCCAAGTGCATGCACATCGCGACTCCTTGGGGCACATAGGTGCCGGAGGAACTGGAACACGCATGGACATCGAGCGGAGCTTTCCCTGCACTTTGGAACCTGACGAGGTGCCGCTCACCCACGGGCCAAGCTCGATGCCATGCATCTTAAGATCCTGAAAGTGCATCGACATCAGGTTGTGCTCTGCTTCCCAATCATTGCTTTCCAAATCAACCCGGATTGATTGGAGCGGAATGCTTCCTAGGTCAACCACCAGAATTTGCTGCGGTGGCGAAACCCCCTTCTCGGCCATCAGCGTCGAGTTCAGCCTGTGTCTGTCAAAGGACACGGACCTTCGGGTGCTTGCCTCTTGAACGGGCATTTCTCCCGTGAAGGTCGGCTGCCATCTCCTGCGGCGAACGTGTGAAAAGCCTCGGAGGCTGTTGCTCCACTTGTTCGGCTCCAAGTAAAAGTCAACGGCATATTGCCATCCCTCGGAATCTGTGCTTTCGTCCACCACGACATCCCATTTGCAGGCACGCTTCCGACCCAGGAACTGGACCTCTTCAATTGGAGGCTCTTCGCTCTCAGCGGCCTCATCGACATCAATGTTTTCGGGAATGAAGGGGTGAGGCAGATAATGATCTTGGATAGACATCCACTTGATGGCTTTTTGATAATCGTGCGGAAGGAACGGGGCTCGCCAGTCGCTGTGCCAGATCGTCGTCCGTCGTTGCAGCTCCCAAACCAAACTCAGCTGCTCCAGGTCTGCAACCATGGCTTCAGCTGTCAGCGTGGGTGCCCGTGCACGTGGTCCAGCCGCCAAGGTCTCTCCGATGCCACTACCACTACCACCACCCAATGGAGATGGACAGAGGATAGAGACGCTACGACGATCGTCGGACGGCACTATGTCGAAGAGTCCTGTTCCAATGAAATAGGTGGCGCAGCTGTGCATGTTTGCCAAGGCTGCAACATCAAAGATCCGAAGGTCGAAGCTATCTACCATGTTACCGTCAACTTCGGCAGATTGCTTGAGACGAATCCGCACGGGATGCATGGAGTTCGTCTCGCTGGTGATAAGCCGAGCCCATTCGACCATGGACCAGGAAATCACTAAGCGGGCTTCCATACCTAAGACGGAAGAGCGAAAGCAGAGTCGCTCTGAACTGATGTAGAAGGTGCCCGGATGACGAAATGTCTTGGACTGCAAAAGGCAGGGAATGGCGGCAACTAGCAACTCACCTGTTCCAACTGCGGTGGCAAAGTGCTCCACGAAGTCTTCCAAGTCTTCGCCTCCTGCAAGTGAAGTGAGGCCAAGCTCTGCGGCAAGCTCTTCTGGCTCACACTGTCGCAGATTGCTTGAAGATGTGCTGCGCATTGGCTGGAGCCACCTCTCCACAGCCGCCAGGTGTCGAACAGCTGCACGCAGGCTCTCCTGCGGAGCCGTGATATCTGCCTTGGCCACAGCTTCCCGCTGAAGGCGCACGCATTTCTCACGCGTTGCACGAAGGCTTGCAGCCGTCCGTGAGGGATCATCAAACAGCTTGCTAAGACCAACCCATGTCAAGCAGCAATCCGTGGAACAACACGGTTGCGACTTGCGTGCACGAGACCCGCATGGTGCTCGGCACCAGGACAGATCTGCACAGCGCTTCACACCAAACCATTGCAACATGGAGTCCTTCACCCTGAGCTCAATGTGCAAGTCTTGTGCACTGTGTTGCGCAGTGTCTCAGCATGAAGCTAGGCCGAAAGTCTCTGTCGCAGATATGGCTAGACTCGATGTGATTCGTCTTGCTTGCGTTGCAACATCCTTTTGCGGAAAGCATGCTGCATGTCCTGACACATCGCGGAAACTGGCGGCATGGGAGCTTAACGGCTCTGATCGATGGCGGCACAGCCAAGAATTGGGCCTCCATGCACTTAGCACATCGGCGTGCAGGCCCGATAAAGGGATGGCTTCTTGTTTGGGATCACCTGTTTGTACTCTTCTTGTAGCGCACGACCGTCCCCAATGTGGGTGAGTCAAGCGATGTTACCTGGTGCCAATACCCGGCTGGAATGTAGAGACCTTGGGCAACTTTGCACATGGCCACCAGCCACTGTTTGTTGACAGGATTCGGAGCCCCGGCAATCACCAGGAAGCAGCGTAATGTTCCAATGTGGAACAGTGACAGCCTGCCAAAAAATGCATTAGGAAAATGAAATCTCAAATTGGAGTGGTGCACCATCTACAAGCCCTCTTCCACTCCCAGCCTGCGTTTCCGTCGTAATCCAAGATCGCCTGCCGAATCGCAAGTGACACACCAGCGCATCACTACACAAAATGTAGCAGAACGTCAGAGACACAGTAGCCGCCTCTCGTCGACTGGAGAACTCATATACTCGGAATAGCGCGGATGGACGATCAGCACCTCGGCGGCAGCAGCGACTACATGAATCTAGGCCAAGCTCCCTCCAGGTTGCATCCCGGTGCCGACGAGTGTCCTTCTTGCGTCCCGAACACATCTGAAGAAATCCAGGGCTCTGGTCGTAGTGGAAGTTGGTCACGGAGCCCAGATCCTGACAGAAATAATCAAGTTGCAGATGGAAAAGAAAGACAGAGGCTTGGCGTGTGCAGACAAGGCTCTGAGCAATAGGTTGAGAAGTCCGTGAAAATATCGGGATCCATTCCCATTCTTCGAAGGGTTTCATCGCCTTTGGGGCAGTAGGCTTGCTGGCTATGCAAGGCAGCCACAGAAGTCCAGCATGGCTGTCAAGATGCGCTGTCTTGGTGGAAAGCCCTGGCGGAAATACATCACAGGCTTGCTCCCAGTGTTGGTAAACCTTGAACGAAGAGTATCGGCGACTCGATCTGACCGTCCGGGGTTGCAGGATGCCTTATTTCAGCCAGGCATCTGAATGTCGCACGGATTGTGTCTGCACAAATGGGAAATAGCTTCGCCAAAGTCTTCCATCCGATGCACCTTGGACAACAACAACAGGCCACGCGAAGCTACACTTCATCCCGGCATTTTGATGTCTTGATGCAGGGAGAAGGCACGTGAGCTGGCCGCTCTGGTGAGCCGTCCGCAAAGCGGAGGCCATCTGCATGCTGCACAACCTCAAGGTTGCTAGATGCGAGGTCCACAGCAGCATCGAACATGTTCGACGGACTCAGCATGACTTAGCCCGTCACTTCTCGCTCCACCGGATAAGATGAGAAAATGCCGGTTGGCGAATACATCATCAATGCTGGGTGGTCACCACACGGATACCTTCTGTCACAGGATCTTCCTTCACCCCGCGAATCATGATTCTACTCCGCTGGAGCCTCGGATCCACGAGGTCATCGAGCCTAGAACATCAGAGCACAGAGAGAACGAACAGCCCAAGCAGTCCAATTGAGACCGAGGGGCGACCGAAGGGAAAACGGCACCTCGTAGCCCGAAACCAAGCAAGGCTCGGTCGGAGGAGCTTCCATGCGGCCCAGGTCGACCTCAAGAAACATGAACCCGGCTGGCAAATGAAGGCTTTTTGGGGCTGAGGGTTAGGGTGCAGCATTCCGGGGTTTTGGGCTGGGCTGAGCCTTTCGGAGCCGTGCTGAGCTGTTGGCGGTTGGCAGGGTGCACCAGACGTCCACAGGCTCCACGGAAGGCCAAGTGGAAGCGTGCCGTGCGGACAAGCGTCCAAGGAACCTGGGCGATGACAAATGGCAAGAGCTCGTGCCGATGCACAGTGCTCCAAGCACGGAGAAGCCGACTGATCCAGCAGGTCGAAGGTGAGAAATGTGATCGCCAGGGCCTTCCAGGCTGAAGTCGGCAGACTAAGCCGTCGGGCACATAAAACATGCGCTCTAGAATGCTCTGCAGGTCGAAACCACAGAATCGATTGCAGCAAAGTGGGCCCCTGACAGATGCTACGGCAAGGACGAGCTGCAGAAGTGTCAGGAGCTCGACCTGCACGCTTTGGCACACTGCTTTGTGACCAATAGTGAGCAGATTTACTGCGATCAGTTTGACCCACTTGCCAGCTCCCTGAACAGACCCCTTTCCTGGCGTAGAGTTCTGGACACTTCTCTGCTCCGCAAGAGGTCTTGTACCCTGAAAAGAGTGGGGAGTGGTCTAGCAGCCTAGCAAAAGCAACAGCAAAGCTTCACAGCAAAAAGGAGCTGGGCATGTCAGAGGCTTGATCTCCAGTGTCTTGGTTATTGCCAGAAGGAGGAAAAATGCAGCAATTGACCCTTGGTTCTCACATGTTTCCTCACGACCCTTGTGAGGACCCCTGCTTTTCCAAACCTTTCATCCTTATACCTAGCACTCTGTCGAAACCCTGTTGATTCTAGTTGCGGCTTCGTCATGGGCAGGCACACATTGCCACGGGATGATCAACATGAAATCTCAAGATGCACTGCACAGAGACATCTTCGCGCCTTTGCTAGTCTGGGGACGGTACAATCTCTGACTGGCATGGGTTTTGTTCCGTCTCACTCAGTTCGTGACGTGCCATCGAACCAGACAGAAGACTACTGTCGGTAAGTTTCAAGTTTTCAGCCCCTACACATTCGAGCACTTTGGTGGTAAAGACACGCCTTCGCTGACCTGTGGCGGACCTAACAATGCTGTGTCAACTCCACGCCTGCAAACTTGTCGGAGTGGACGGTGACATAGCACCTAAAGATACCTGCAGCGCAACAACACACGATAGAGACTGGCAAGCAGTCTGAGGCTGTCGCGAGCTCCAAAGACCACCTCAATGCACCACATGCATGGCCTCAGTGTTCCCAAGAAGAACACGGATGCTTTTGGCTACTTAGTAGAACAGGGCTGACGCTTTGTCATTCGTCGTTCTCCGGAGTTCGGTCATCGGGATATTTAGTTTGCGAGTGTGGATACACTTTCTAGTGCTTTCATGCACGCAGGCGGCTACAGTAGCAATCCTGAAAGTCTTGCAACTCCAGCCCTAAGACAAAGAACTCCTTGCAAATCAGATGCAACCGCATGGTATGACCTGGAAACACTTAAAGCCACAGAAGCAGCACTTGACCACTCTGCCAGGGGCCAGGCCCAGGACAAACTTCGACGGACTCACCCCGAGAGCTCCCATTCCCTGGCGACAACTGCTCTGGAGCTTTCGTGCGCTCTTAGGACTCGTCGTCGAAACAGTCAAAACCTTCGTCGTCAAGACTGTGACAAGCATCATCACCAGCACAACAAACACAAGAACGTAAACAATACTGCAAAGTCTGATGATGACAGGAGAACGATGGAGCACTATTAAAAATAGTGATGATAGTGAGGATAAGGATGATGGTTACCATAGTTTCAGTAACGATACTCATACTGACAGCAAAGAGAAACCAAAATGAGAGTGAAAAGAATAGTGAGAAATGGCGTTCATAACAACAGTTTGGTAACATCGATGTTCATAACAGTTACACACATGATAATGACCATAGTTTAGCTAGTGCTAAAAATAGCTATACCAAAAGAAACACTGCCATCAATGGCAGAACACGATAGTGCAGAGGCTCGGACCGGCAGTATAGAAGTTATCATTCACATACTCTCGCTGATGACACATGATGAAACCCAACTAAAGCTAAAGAAAAGAAAGGTTGGGAATGAAAAGCATGGTCATGATGAACATCAGGCTGTCTGTGGAAACACTGACACACAGTCATGATCAGCACTCTGAACTTTGAGGGCCGGGTTACAAGTGAGATGGCACCGTCTGGCGTTCCAGGGCCGAAGCCTAGCTGGAGCAGAAGCACCAGCCGAAGCCCATCCTCGCCCACTTTGGGCAATGCAAGCAGCTCGCAACCAGCTCAAGGATAAAAAATCTCCTCCTCCGCCATTTTGTGACCCTGCAAACAGACGACAAGGCAATTCATCTGCAAAAAGGGCTGACATGACGTTTGCAGGCGAGGTGCAGCATCCAGAGCAAGCATCCTGGGAGATTGCTTGCCTGATGCTGCGCTGCTGTGGTGACATGTTGGTGTACCACTAAGTGTGTGCACCAAACCCGTTCTCGGCTTCGGTCCCTGCAACTTCAAGCGGCACCTCACTTGTTGGGTTTGCAATGCTGTGCTGCACATCTTCGTAACAGCGAACTGCCTCGCATCCAGATAAGTGGTTTTACCGAGGGACAGGAATCGGCCTGCCAAGAAGAACACAGTCGCTGCAGCAGTGTCGAAAAGCGCTGCAAATGCGGATCCCGTGATCACCTGAGAGTGTAGCATCACCAGCTTTGTTCGCAGTTCCACAGCAAGTGGGCCCGTTGCCAAGCCGGGCTGACTTCCTGACTTCGTGCTATCACATGCGAGCAAGCGGCAGAGCCAAACATTGCAGGGGCAGCAGCTTGAATGTCTGATGCAGGCGGAAAGCCCAAGTTCCACGGCAGTTTGTTCAGTAGAAAACACAAAAAATACCTCGGCAGAGAGGCAAGCGATGCTAATGTACTCTCCTCAGCAATCGGTGTCTGAAGCGCGGTATAGCCACATGCTTTTGCTCCCTCCATAATCTGTCCTTAGGGTCAATCGTGATTTCACCACACGACAAGACGACGGCACATCTTGTCGCATGCAAGCTGAGACTCTGCAGCAGACGAAGCGTGTTGTCAAAGCTTTCCGGACTTAACGACGTGTGCCAGTCCTGCAAGTTTGTTTTCTTGTCAGTCCTAGCACGCGTGACTTTCGACAGTCCTCAACTTGCAATGCCAATGGGAGGATGGCTGCAGCAGGGATCAAGCTGTACAACGCGACGCATGCACAGGCAATCCAGCAAATCCATCGCCTCCAGAGATGTGAATCATTAGTATCAATAGCACATGCACGACCCGACCGAGCCGCACGGCCTCATGCTGGGATTGCGCCGCAGGCTCCCCATCAGGTCGTCCACCGTCTGCAGATTCTTGGTGCTTGCAGCAAGCTGTTGTGCACCTTCTTGCACCTCGCTGGTAAAGACAAAGCCCGAACGGTGCTTGTGCATGACATAAGCCAGGCCTCCATGAACCACTGCCGAAATGGTCGGGCCACCAGGCTAGCACGAGGCCGGGGATGCGGCCAACGTGGCCTGCAAGTCACCGTCGGCATAAACCCAGCATTGCAGCACCAGGAAGTCCTGCACCATGTCGGCCGCGGCGCTGGCCGCACTTCCTTCAACTTCAGAGGCACTTCTCTTCGCCAGTGACAGCATGTACTCAAAATGCCTGCCAACTGGATGCGACGACGAATCGCGCTGGGTTGCAAGGAGTCATGCTAACACCTCCTACATCCGCACAGCTCTTCTGATTGCGGAACGAAGTATGTTATCTACTTTGGTGACTAAACTCCCGTTTTGGGAAGCTGCCTGCATGCATTCAAGGTCATTCGGCATGTTCCGACTTGCTCCTGCCACTATCTCCAAGCTGTTGATCTTGAGACTAACATGGATGGGTACCAGTTCACACGACATTCGAACAAGATCACAGCCACAATATGTATTCAAGAGCACGGAGAGGCAACACGGCGCTTGAATCCGTTCTTTGTTCCTGGTCTGGTGAAACTGTAAAACGATGATGTCTCAAATCCGACCTTCTGTCATCTCTCGGCAGCCGCAACAGAGGCGTTCAGGGGAATTGCCTCTGGCCCAATCTTTCAGAGACGTTCTCAGCTTTCTGGCCCGGCTTTCTTGAGACTCAGTTGTTGTGCGTTGGCAAGCCTGAGCGAACAAATTTGCCATGCATCAACCTTTCCGCAGGCAGCAGGCCTCGCACAGCAACAATCACTGGAGGTCGCCCCTCCTTTGCCTGAGCCCGGGCCTGACAGATGCAAGACTGAAAGTAGAAAGTCCAGCAGTCTCAAGCCACAGCAACTTGAGACAGTCAAAGCGGCATCCTGCCACCGCTCTGCAAATGCCTTGCCGCGTTCAAGGGAATAGCCTACAAGTAGGAGCCTTGCTGATGCTTGCTGATGCTTGTTGCCTCTTGTGTTTCGGGAATGGCAAAATAGTCAGGCGGCCTGCTCTAACCTAGACCAGGGCCTCAAAGACTGCACCTACCCGACATCAGAGTCTGGGCCTCAGCGTTGGCATCCACTTTGGAACGCTTTGCCGTTCTGCCGGCTGCACCACTTGCTTGCCCTGCAAAGTGTGACAGGTTGAAAAGATAAGCATAGCGAAGTTGTAGATACGAACGGCATGGAGCGTATACGCCTCCTTCCTGCTTTCGTCTTTGATTTTTTGGGTTATTTCGTGATTCAGTAGACTTTGAAAAGGCAGAAATACAGAAAGGAACAGAAGCAAGCCAAGTAGCGACCACCTCAATGAAATACGGGAGGTGATCAACAAACATTCAGAGTCATGCTGCACTCTGCACTTTTTTGGGTCCAGAACAGGTCAGGTGCCTGCACAGCATGCACGTACAACTACAGAGCAGAAGAAAGCACTGCTTCAAAATGCAAGACTTTTACCACCTGTCTCATGAAAAATTCTATACGGACAAACTGTGACAAACCAAAGCCGAAACATCAACTATCGTCTGGTCAGACTTCCGTGGGAAGACTTTGGTTCAGAGCTTCAAGCAGGATCTCGCGACTGGAATAGTTCCAACTGGCCCGCTTGTGGCTTCTCAGCCCTTGAGCATCCTAAGCGCAAGCCTGAGCCTGGCTCCATCCTGCCGACGCGCTGCCGGCTCTGGGGCCAGGCGCCTCCAACAAAAGCTGCACAGACGCTGAGCGGCGATGTCATAGAAAGCACAAGGCAGCTGGGACGCCTCCGCGCCCTTTTGAGCATCTGGTTCAATCTCTTCCACCGTTTCAAGATCAGTTTCACGATCATCCCGTGTCGTCCACTCCGCACCGTCAGCGCAGGCAGCCCCTCCGCGCATCTCATCGCACTCTGGTTGCCCGCACATGTCCTTAGTTTACAGCTAGGTTCGCAGGTCTCGTCCGCGATCCGTCGCAACCAAGACTCCAGGTCAAGATCCCTTCCCCTTGACTCTTCTGATAGGTCCTGAACGGCCTGAGATTCTCGGAAATTCTGCCAGGAAAGCCAGGCTTGTAGCTGGAGCAGGGTGCCTGCCGCTTCGCATGCGGTTCAACCACCGCATCCGGCTTCGAGTCCAACGCAACCCTGGCATTCCGTGGGTCATTGCAGGTCTCCTAGGACTCGAATCGTGATAGGGAGCCTCCTGCTCTGCATCGACTTCACGCCGGCAGGAACCTCCGAAGAGAAGGCTGGGGCAGAGCACAGAGCTTCTGTGTTTGCAACACATATAGGCCTGGACGGGCGCACTCCTCCGCTGGGCTGAGCTTTTCTCAGCCTCTCATCGTCGCCAGTGCACCGACTCGGTGTAGCAACGCAGTTTGCATGCAATCTTTGCACCCAACTGAAGCTTCGAGCAACTGCCCGGTCCGGTCGCAGTTTCGGAATCGATTCCTGAACATCGCAGGGTAGAGGGGAGTAAGTCTGCCAGTTTTTGGCAACCTAGAAACTGAGGGTCCGGGGACCTGTGCCCATGACCCCAGCCTGTATGTACATGCGAAACAATGGAAGATGCTAGCACTCTGTGCCGAACTTCGACACTGGTGCTGGCCTGAGAGCGACGCTCTCTGTGCAAAGCTGCTCCTGCAAATTTGCAAAGTAAAGCGCTCATTCCGCCGCCAGCCAGGCCACGGACCACTGCAACCATGTCCTCCAGACTCCAGGCGCTTCATGCTAGCGGCTGAAGACTTTTCTCAGCTGCAGGCTCGACAATCGTCAGAGGCAACAAGACGAGTGGAGCACCACCCTGGCACAGATGAGAACAGGAACTTGCATCCGGTGGTCCGGCTGGTGCTCGCCACATCCCTTGCGAAATCTGGTCGCCGCACCCCTTGGACGATCTGGTAATACATTCCCGATATTGCCAGGCCTCAGGTTCTGCCATTACCATTACACACTTTTGCCACGTACGCGGCGCTCAGCTCCTGGCTCCAGCCGATAAGCTCGTCCATCATGGAGTCCTGCTAAGACTGAGAGGAGACCAGACGGCCTAAGGCCAAAGATTTGGTCGTCCAAAAAGGTGCTGGGCTCCTAGGCTCCTAGGCTCCTAGGCCCTGGGCTTAAAAGGGCACTTAAAGGCTTCAACTGGTCAAAAAAAAAACCAGGGTGTCAAGGGCACTTCACTCACAGAAAGCAAGGCTCCCTTCTGCTGCCAAGCACGCAACGTTGGGCTCCAAGTTAAATTACGTTATGTTCAATTATGTAAGTTGTGTTGCTCGTACGTCACCGGACACGAGGCTACCCCGCACACTTTCTCAAATACAAGCTGTCTCATGTCGGACGCCAGCCTCCATGCTCTGTTTTGAAACCACTCCACGGCGATAAAGAGCAGGCCTTGCTTGGAGCGAAAGCTGCAGCATTTGAAACGCAGAGGATGCCCGAGCATTTGGCAGCAGGAGCGACCAAGCACTCCTAAAAATGCCACATTCCGCATCGCTTCATTTGAGAATCACACCCGGCCTTCCGACGAGCAAACCTCCAGCGATGCCCGTCTGCACGGAGGAGAGAATCTGATCATGCAATACCATGCAAGTAGTGAAGAGTGCGGGCGGCTCGCGGCACATTATGTCGAAGTGAAGATTGAGATCCCAACACGTTGAAGCTTCCAAGCAGCAGCCGTGGCAATTGCCTTTCACTGCTGCAGATCCAAGCAAAGCTTCTAAGATCAAATCTGCAGTCTGGACCTTGCAGCCAAGGTTGATACTCGGCTCGATCCATTGCCGGTACCTTGCGAAACGAAAACATCAATGGTGCTTGACGGCAGGCTTTCGGCATCAAACTGGGTCCAGGTCTCAGGTGGTGTCACTGCGAGAGCAGCAGGCCTCGCAGTTTCGGAATGTGCGGCGTTTTGCAGCTTCGTAAGAGCTTCCAAGCGCTGCACGCTAGCGCTTTAGCAGCCAGCGGTCGCAGGTGATCCCCTGCCATGAACAGGGGGGACTCTTGACTCCTAGCTGTTAGTGTCCTCAACCCGCCCGACAACACGAAGCAAATCATCCATCCCTCCCCCATCCCTCCATGTCCAAGACAAGGCTTTCCAGCGCCCGTTGAATCCGCTAGCTGTGGAGCCACCCGCATTAGCAGGCCGCAATTCAGCACTGACAGACGAGAAATTGAGGGTCACTCGCGTGGATACGGTAGACGGTGAGAGAGAACATCGACTGTCAGGTGTGGCAACATAGGCACCCAACCGGAGGTTTGCCGTCACGCTGCATACATGCCGGGCAAAAAACAAGGTCGGTGTTGCGATGGGTACATATGGCTGCAAGAGTCAGACACGACTGGGGCTGTTTGGCCAGGTCGCACGAACGTTGCGCCGTCAGAGGTGCGAACCCTCGCGGACTCGCGCAGACCGAATCGAATGAGTTGTTGGACAATGTTTCCCAGCATGCAGCACGACCCGAAACATCCCGAAACTCTCGCACTCTATTCTGTACGTATACCGTTTCTGCACGTCTTCGAACAAGGACGTGTTCAAACCAGGCCATCAATGGCTCAAGCACATGAAACCACGAGCAACACAACTGATGTCTTTGGTATTCTTTGGTGCAGAAGCCGGCAACAAGGTGAAGCGTTTTGATTCCAACCCGCTCATGACACCAACACAAAAGCAGCAAGCGGCAAGCCAGCCTTGCCTATTGAATGAGCGAAGGCGACTGTCCTCACAGGCATGTGCCATAAGAAATATTGTCCTGCTGCTAAGCAATGAGCGTGTCCTCGCAAACTTGTACTTTAGAGCGAGTACCAGGCCCTGGCACGTCAAGGCATGACAACGACTGCAGAAGACGCCATGCAGTATGGTGCAGACGTGTCCAGGGCACCATGTAACCCGTCCAAAGGCTTCCCAGGGCATCGGAGATTCGCTGTGGATCAACCTCAAACGCTAACACTTGCAACTAATTTCGCGGGAGCAGCGTGCTTAGGAGCTGACCGTGCAGAGAACCAGTTGGACCTTTTCCCAGGCCGACGTGGGTTTTCCTAGATCCTGTGACAGACAAACACAACACAGAAATCGCATGGCGGGCCACAGAATTTGCAGTCCTTTTCCATGTCGGCATTTGCTTCAAGAACTGCAACCGCATCCACCTTTGCCGACAGCTAGGGTGCCTCGCAACAGTGAGCAGCAGGACTGACAATTGGCCTGCAGATCCTGGAGGCTTGCGAGCCTAAGAAGCGTGTTCGGAATGCTTTCAAAAGCCCCAAGATGCTGACTGGGCCCGCGACATCTGATCACCACCTGCGCTTTTGAAGGATTCAGCTGCCGCGAAGAAGGCAGTATAGTGGCCACCGAAGAAACACTGTCCAAGACCTGACAAGAGAGTCAACACACATGCTCGAAAAAGTCGCTGGCTTCCGTGCACTCGGCAATAAGTGCTAGCGATTATTTCTATCGAAATGGTAGACTGCATGGTTGTGGAGGAGGCATGCAACTGTTACTTGAGACTTCTTGAACTGTCCCACATTCGTCGGCATCAATCTTATTACCACGACATACCCCTACCATCAAGACAGTCTGCCCGATCACGACTTGCTCTCATTTCCTGCTGTGCTCCTCGTAGAAGGTAGTCTGATCGCATTACGCTTTCTCTGAGTTCAAGTTCGCTCACGTCCGCATGAGACGGTAGAACCTTTTGAAGTTGCAGAAACTGCGAGTTGTAATCATTGCCAGGCGGACCCCACAGGCAGGTGGCTGCGTCTCGAGGCAAGGCCTCTTTTCTTTGTCTTTTGGAGCATCGTAGCATGCCCATGCATATGCAACACTCCAGGCATCTCCAGGCCTTGTAGATTGTGAAAAGCCCAGAGTAGAAGCTGTACACTGGTGGACCAACGACCTGCACGTTCTGAAATGATTTTTTCAGATTGGCAGCTAGAAAGCCATTGGAGGTGATTCTGCGACTTACCCGAGCTAGAAACAGCGAAAACGCTTTCTCCCTCTCTGCTGGCGTCGCGCTCACCGTTGCAACAATGTACTCCTGACACTTAGGACTAGCATTCCATTCCAACTGCTTGCAACTAAAGCCTTCAACGGGATGAGCTCGTGGGAAGGGCAAAAGCTATGCAGAAAACCACAATTTCTTGCTTCCTAGGTCCTTAGGGAAGAAGAGGGAACGGCAGCAGCAACGATCTCACTCCTGGGTTCGTTGCACTGAGCCCAAGGCAGAGATGACATCGCCGGCCATCTCTAGTGCAGGTCTGCCGATGCCATCCAGGCAGTGTGATAGCCAGGGAGTGCCCTGGCAAGGATGGGCTCAACGGGCTTCCGTAAGCGTATGTGTGCATCGAGTACCTGCCTACCTGCTTACCTAGCCGGCCTACATGCATACATACAAGCATGCATACATGCAGCCCCTGTGGCATTAAGGACAACAAATGCCCTGGGAATATCCGGGAAGCCCTGCCGCCGAACAAATCACGTTGTGGCACCAGGCCACTATACAACCGGCATTAGCACATGGCAAATGTCTGGGCAGCAAAAAAATCGCTGATGCATGTCGATGGCTCTCATGTGGTGGGTTGCATGGCACAAAATACCGAACGCACAACAGAGATCCATGCCAATCGCAAAGATTCGAGTTTGTTGCAATGTGGATAGATTGTGGAAGCGACAGTGTTGCGTGCTTCATTCTGCTCTGCTCTGTTGGCGAGTCCTGGTATGTGCCGCAAGCACTTTCCCCAATCACTGAGAGCAAGAACCGACACTTCCAACGGAGCCGACACCGGAGAGGCCATCAATGAATGAACATACATACGTACATCCATGAATACGTATGTCTTGGTATGCACCCATACTCCTTTGTGCTGCACTTATGATCTAGTAATTTATGAGCTGACTCATCTGACAAACTTCTGTATCTGCAGTCGCTTTTGTGCATTGCAGAACCCATCTCCATGTCATACAACTTAGCAGGGTGCGGCTCAAATACATACTATTTCTTCAAGAGAAAGGTCAAGGCCCGAAAGAGGGTCGGCCGTGGGCCCCTTTCCCCGACTGTTTCCACTCCAGCCTTCGCATAGGTCGACAAGGCCAGTCGCTCAACTCGCATTTTCTCTTGACGACCAGTGTACGAGCCTTCGCAAATTGAATTCGAGCCACAGTGCCACTTCTGAGAACCACATGTTTCTGCACATGCTTCTGATGGCCTGAACCACTGTCCGGATGCCTTCTCAGCTGAGAGGCGCTTGTGATGACTCCCTCGGCTGTGCTTACATAATGCTCCGGACATGACTAGAAACTCGAAGTACACAACTCCTCCTTCTGTTGGCCGGGGCCACGGCAGTCAGAGCCTTTGCCACCGCTTCTCGATTCTGCGGACTTCTGGCCGTCAGCAGGGCCCAAGGCTCCTGCGAGGGCCCAACGTAGAATTGCTTTGGACAGAGTGCAAGGCAGTCCTCTCTGACAAAGGCCGGCTTCTTGAGAACGTGGGCAGGGAAACTGTCAGAGTCACTGAGGCCTCCAGGGCCACCCGTTCAAAGGCTTCAAGCTCTCATGCTGACTCTCAGCGTCTTGCCGCTGCACAAGGGAATGACCTTCAGCGCAGATGCCGTCTCTTTACTCACGGCTTCAAACTGCTAGCACGTGGAATTTGGACTCAAGAGCACACCAGCATAGTAATCCGACCGGAGCATTCCCATCGGCTTTGCAAATGACTCTTGCACATTCCACCACCAGGGGGCAAGGCGACGAGGCGATTGCCACTCCACAGCTCGAGGCCACGGCAATAGCCCCGCGAGAGTACGCGATCTTTGCCTGAAAGAAGGGCAAACGCAGACAAGGCATGCCAGATCCAAGAGACCCTCCGTGCCTGCTCGGAGACCTGAGGCCCTCCGGCAAACGCAATGTAGATGTCGGCAACTCGGAGGAGCACGGCCCTTAATTATGTCGGATGCTGGCCGTATTTTGGACGAACCTGCTTGTACTCTAGTCCTGCTCGGAGAATCTGGTGGTTTTGAGCGACCCTATCCGAAGTTGCTAGAGGCCTGTGCTCAGGCCGTTCAGGACAGACTTACTTCTCTCTATGCAGACATCGTTGGCAGCCCAACAATTTTAGGCCATGCAACTCTGCTGTACTCAGGCCGCTTCGGGCTACTATGAGGAGACTAAAACTCACAAATCTATGCAAACTGGGCAGCATACTGCGCTTCTGCGATGCTTCCTCCGGCCAGGATTGCTTGGCCTTACAACTGATCAGATGGCAGGGTCCCAGCACCAGTCTCGGCAACGCTCAATACCCCACGGTACTGCTCAGGTGGTCACCTACACGAAGCTTGGGTGTCATGTCAGCTGGGACCAGTGTGTAAACCTAGGTCCAACAAGAAAAATCGAGACAAACAAGATGTTGTTCTTCTCAGACAATTCAGCACCATGCCATCGATCCGTCTGCGCAGTTGTTTGCAAAGGTCTCCTCCCGCTGAACTGGACTAGTCAGTGCGCCGGCACGGGCTGTCCTTGCTCTCCTGAACTGCCGAGCATCCAGCAAACAGAACGACTGCTTGACGCAGGTCTTTGCAGACCTGTACGGCGACCTGGAACTCATGACAACTCACGCGATACAAGTATTCCGGTGCATCCATCACGGAAGCATGTTCATTGTCGGTGTGCACCCACCCTGCCTGCCCTGCGAGCTCCTTGCGGCCTGGAAATCGCCCCAAGCTAGTTCAAGTGCTCCCGACAAATTTCAGATCCGAAGCACCGCTCCAAACACATCTTCTTTTGTTTCGCCCGCTTTTCGGGGGCTCGGCACGCAAGTCTTTGAGCATGTGCACAGTACGCCAGCGGTAGCTGACCCGAAGTTATCAGCTTGTGGCTCTGAGTTAGATTGCAGGGATTATATATATATATATATAAAGGGTGAGCCACTCGACTGCCCAGCTTATCCAATAATTGGTTCTTAAAATCTCCATCTACATGCTGGAGCGACATGTGCCACATGTACCCTCCTTGGCCAAATCTGCATCTTGGTGTGTGTGTGTGTGTGCGTGCATGCTGCAAACTGCGTCGTTGTTGGAGGGGAGCTCTCAGCGTCGGCGTCGACTCCGGCTGCGGGAGCGGCTGCTGCTTCGGTCTGGGAGAAGGCAGGTCATCCAAACACATGCAGAAATCAGACACGCAGGGGGCGCAACAAGCGCATGCGACGCAAATGCAAGGTGTCACAGCTGCTCTCATGCGATGGTAAACTGTGAATTCAATCCACAGCAAGCGCAAGGCCTCGACGCTCCTGCACAGAACACCACTTCTCAGAGACTGCCTTCGGACAGCAATCAAATCATCCAGGCCTTTCTTGCTCTGCCACGGCGATCCCTGTCTCGATCCTTGGCCAGGGATTATCCAGCATTCCCAGTTCCGAAGTCGGCACATCACAATTGAGCAGTTCAGTGCAGCTCCTTTCTTGACTTGCCTCTTCCTCGATCTTTGCTGCGGCTACCTCTCCTAGGCGATTTCGATCATGGTGGCCAAGAGACAACCCCGGCCGAAACTCGCCTTTTCTTCTTGTAGCCGTTCTCCTTTTGAGACTCGTCCTCTGAGCTAGCAAGACGGCCCAGAGTTGCAAGATTTTCGACTCTTCGACACTTCCAGGTCCTGTTGCTTGCTCTTGGACTTTGCTCTATTGCTGCCTTCGCCGTCGCCGCCATCAGCCTGCAAAAAGACTGTCCTAACGCATGCAAGCTGATCTAGGATGACAGCCTCTTGCTCAGCTTTCTCCTCTTCTGCCACCTCACAGCTCACTGCTGTAATTTGCACAACCAATAGTTTGTGAAACGGGCTGGCCTTCTTCATGTATTCCTCGTTCTTCTTTTTGCGCTCCTCTTCCTGTGTGGCTTTGGTTCGCAAAACATGCTACCAGATGCTGCTGGGACGAACGGAACCTTCTTCTCCTTGAGAATTCTGTCGCGCTCGGCCTGTCCAATAGCGGCTACAGACTCTGGACAAGACATGACAAGACCTTGCAGTGAACGCAACTCAGCACAGGGCTTTCTTGTCTTTGAGCTCTTTGAGCCGGGCACGGATCTCCGCATAACTGTTGTGTATCTCGCGGCAGAGTAAATTCGATTCCTGACTGGCAAGGACTTGGATGATCGCCTTGTACCTCAGGTGCGCTTCGTATTCGCCCTCGTTGTTGCCTCGCAAGCACAATCGCTGGGGTCAGGAGTGTCGGAAGAGAAGCTTCGGCCGCGGCTGATGTATGCAGTTCCGCAAACCTGCCGAAAGTTGCAACCGCAACGCGAAGCAGCGCAGAAGGCGCCGCATCTTGCCTCACAAGCCAGCGGCCGAAAGTTAGCCTTCACCTTCTCTTCTTCCTCCTGCGCCACATGCATGCAAGCAGGCAAGGAAAGCGCTGCTCATTTATCCTCCGGTTTGCGTCACATGTATCGGCAGTTGTTGCGATGCCCGCCATGGAAGCTTATGCAACATGTGGGACTCGGCGCAACAGCTTTCTGTGTGCGCAAGTGGACTCCTTATTCTGCTCGGCTGGGACACTTCAAGAAGCGACGAAGACCTGATCGGTCCTTCTCATACTTCTTCGCCTCTTCCAAGAGATCGTCAGACTGCTTCGTCAGCTCTTCCTGCAGCCGGACACGGAAGGCAGGGAGAGGTTCCAAGATGCTACTGGTTGTGGAAATCTCGGGTGACAGGTCGAAGTCGAAGTACACCTCTCTCGGTACATCGAATGCTGGCCTTGCCTTCTTGCGCGCCTCGCAGTCTTCCAAAGCGTTGGCCCTGGCTTCAAGATGCAGCTGTTGCACATTCATTCTAGGACGTGGACAAAATTCTGCAGCAAGCGTATTCAAGCCTTTTGGAATCATGATCAAAAGTGAACTCGAACAGATGCTGAGCAGTCATGACCCCTCTCTAATGCGGATTTCTGTGAGCCCGGCTTCTGTGCCAAGTTGGTGCTCTCCCGCTTCATCTGCGAAATCTTCCTGAGAAAGAGTCGGTGAAGGCATGGGCACACTGCTCGGCAAGGAGCTAGAGGACCTGTATAGGAATGGGAGGGAGGGGGAGGGACAAGGATAAGCTTCTCTGCAAGTTTGACGAGGCAGATGGCGAGTCACCAGCCACTGGGCGTTTGCAGCAAGGTGACTGGTTCACATCGGCAGGCAGCGCCTTGGACCTTTCGAGAGCCAACTGAGCCAGAGCTGATTCCCAACTCGTGGTTCTATGGTTGCGATTGACGGGTTCAGCGGGTTCAGCTATGTTATACCCCCACCCGCCTGTATCGGCCCTTTCTGAGAGCCGTTGTGTGTGCCAATGCCTGGACTAGAGGCCGTGACGATGCACTTGAGCAAATTTGAAGCCCAAGAGTCTCCAAAGTCTACCTTCTGCGCCTGGATTCTAGCGAAGTTCTGTCCCCATGTGCGAGGGAATCACGGCACTGGCACCAATCTTCAAGCTGCCAGAACCGTTTGGAACTGTGTCGCCGGCCTGGGTTCTTTCCGCAAGCGTTCTACCTCTCTTCGGCCGTATGCCTCGTACTCAGGTCATGTGAGCCAGTTAGGATTCTGCAACAAAGCCGCTGGCCTCGGCCTCCTGGACACAAAACTCCAAGTCGCGAATCGAGTACTCCTTCGCCAGATCCGATCCGAAGCTCTGCATGAGGACATGAGAATGTACCGCCGGCAAGGAGTCCTCGTACTTGATTCTTAGATCGCTGCCCTCTTTGCCATCTTTCGTGGCTAAGAACTTCTCTCGGATCACCTGCAGCTTTCTGCGCAAACGTGCGAATCATCAGCAAAAGACAGCATGAAGTGCGCATTCTCTCCCAAGCACTTGCGCGCCTCCGAGTGGATTTTGTCGCAAGGCTCGATGCCCCGCTTGCCGCCCACAACGGACTGCGTGCAAACGCCAGACGAGCAGACGGCAAGTCTTGCCATCCAAGAGAGCACGTCGTTTTGAATATGCATATCGTTATACTGTGAATTACTGCGAATCACGTGCCTTGTCGAAGGGACAAAAGCCAATGAGATATCCTCAGCTTCGGATGCACTGTTTCGAGCCATTTAAGCGACTGCATATTGATTTCTGTCTGGCGGTTCTCCAGGCAGCACAGTTGGAAAGTTTGCAAAGAGGTACAGCAGCACCAGCAGGGTAAACAACGGCAGGTGTTTCTTACTTTCAAAGGGTTTTGGGGGACATGCAGCCTTCTCATGCCTGCAGTGCAGATGAGGACAAGTGATGTCGTCCGATATCATGTTTCGCAACAGTCCTGAAAACAGTAGGTTGCAAAGAAGCCAACTCGTTATGCAAGCGTATATTGCTTCCAACGTTAGCATGCCTTTCAAAAACCTGCTTGCATGAAGGACTACTGGGCAACTTCTGATGATGCCGCGTCACCTTTGCAAATGCTCTTGTCCTGGCATGGGCGACCGCACACGACTGACTGTGAAGCATGCGCCCGTCCAATTTCAGGTCAAAGAAGGGATATAGAGGAGAACTGCTGTGGCAGAATTTTGCGGCCTTCCAGTCTTCTGCATTGTCGGCCTTCTTCTGATCCCGCTGTGGGCCTTGCTGCCAACCAGCGTTGGTATAGAAATGCATGCTTGCGATCAAAGCCCAGGTTTGCAGAACCCATAACGGAATTTCTTCAGGGACCGGTCTGGGAAGGCCACATGCATCATTATCACATTGGAAGAACGATGCGTGCCGAGTGGGAACAACCCTCTACTTCTGACTACTGCTCACCTGTAGCCAATTTTGCCAAACCTTCCATCAACCTGAACTACTGGAGGTCACGCAGCTCATCTAGCAAGCGGAAGCCACGATTGAAGTCTCCAGTGCTCGAGATTTCTCCAGGCTTCAGGCCCATGAGGGCATCCAGCATTGCACGTGCCTTTTCGGGAGTTGTTGATGGCTGAAAGCAGTAAGGGATACGCAGCAGAAAGGGAAACACACCCTGCCTTGTTCATGGCGGCGAAAAGACGTCACATCAACGGCACATGCAGCTGGCAATCGTGTGGGGAGGTAACATGTGGCTTGGTCGCAAGTGGTGGCAGCTGTGGGGTCTGGGAGATCTTGTGCTGGGGTGCTGTTCTCAGCCGAGCTGGGCTCAAAGCTATGAAGCCCAAAAGTAACGGCGGGGCACTGTCAAGCGCACCATGACATAATCAAAACGGCGCCAGAGCTGTCAATGCAGGCCTTGTGTCTCACCGGCAAGGATGCCTATCTTCAGCGCAGGCCCAAGGGTGTGGGAGACTTCAGCCATAACCTCGGCAGCATGAGTGCCACGACGACTCAGGGCTCGTGGAAGGGGAAAGCCTGAACAAGCCGTTGCAACTGGAGGCAAGCCTTCGGCAACTTTTCACATCTCGCATGTTAAAACAAAAATCCAGGACCTCTATGTGACATGTGGCTCCATCTGGCATTGTGAAACTGCTTTCAGCTCGTTGCGCCTTAACTTCCAACCGGCGCAATAACAAGCACGATCCTGCAATGTCTATGGAGCCCAAACGTCCACACCACAGGTCTCTAGCTGCAACCGCTCATCACAGCATCATGGCAACAAACCTGTCCCTGCAAGGGCAATTCCAGATCTTCAATACACCACGGGCCAGCGTGGTACCACTGGGGGCGGCTTTTCTTTGTCTTTGTCATAGAAGCGATAATTGCTGCCGTCGGACGGAACCAAGTACAGGACGAGAACGAGGGTACTACATGTCCACTGGATCTCAATGTCTTCTGCTTGCGGATGCTGGCGCGGACACGAAGGGCAGTGCTCATTCCAATATCTGGTCCTGATGCACACCTCGGTCTTTGCAGTTTGCCAACCTCTTGAGCTGGATCTGCCAGGGGCTGCGTCGCTGCCTGTGTCATCCTTTGCCAGCTTCTTCGCCTCTCGAACTTGCACGCCAGTGGCGTGCTCCGTTGTCTGTCTCGATCAGTCTGCCTGTGGCCGGCACCTGCACCAGCTGTGCTGGAAGAACCATGGCCTTACTTCACCATCTCCTTTCTAACAAGCAAGCGATGCGACTTGCGACAATTGACAGCGACAGCTTCTCTGGCTGGATGCGACGTATCCGTGCGCATGACATGCGCATAAGCCACCAAGATACTGAAAGACTTCCACCGTTGCAGCAGTTGGTGTCCAATCCGATTGCATGTGGGTACTGTTGGAAACCACGCGGTGCATCCTTTTGCTGGTGAAAGGATGTAAAGCAGAATCTTGGAGGCCTGCTGAAATGGTGCTGGTGCTGCCAGGAATCATGCCCGAACATTACCATCTTCGGCATGTCACCCATCGCGCTGCCAGCAACCTGGAGGGTCACATGCACCACCTGTTACAGAGCCCAGGTAGTGACAAGGCTGACAAAACGGACATGAACACGCTGCTGCTTGGGCCTTGCTGATACGGGCTTGCACGGGCTGCTTGCGCATTCTAGCTGGCTTAGGAGCAGATGTAGCTTGCAGGGTGCGGAACTTTACGGGTGCATGACGATGCAACCAAAATCCAGGACCCATCCACCACCCCACCACCCCTGAGGACCGAAGAGCGGCCAGGTAACCCAGGAGCTCCAAACTGCCGCCCACCTTGGATGAAAGGATACAGTGATACAGCCATATACGGCCATTCGGCCCTTGGGAAATTGTCGAATCCGCCGGGGCACGGTTCACCAGCTCGGACATCGTGCAGGGCTTGATGGATCTTCGTCTCCGCATCTGCCTTTACCAGATTCCCTGGGATTCGATTGTTTCTGCCAACTGGCTGTGCTTCTGCAGCTTGCTTTTCTCTGTCTGCTGTTGAGTTACTCAACATTACCATATCTTCCAGTGACTGCTCCTCCAGCCTCACCAAGTCCGCGATTCACAGCTCCGACTCAACATGCTGACCTGTCTGATGTCGATGTGTGCCAAGCTTGTTCAAGCGGCGGTCTGCCAGGCACCAATCCGGCATGCACCAAAAGCAGGTCGGCATGATCCGGCAATCGAATTGTCAAAGGCAACATCCGGATGAAGTCCAAGTCAGCCTCAGTCCTCAAAGGATACGTCCGTTGCTGCAGAGCAGTGTACGCTGGAAGTCGAGAGAACCCAGTACAGCTTGCAGGTTCTCGATGGTCTGCCTTGAACCGAGGCGCAGCAGCGTCAACCACTCCCAGCTTCCATGCTCGTCAGGTTCGGGGATAGTACCACTCATTTTCCATGAATTCCACTTTTGCAGCCTTTGGGGACAACAGATATGCTATACGACAGAGTAAACTGAAACACTTTCGAACAAGCATCAAAGAAGTATGTCGAACTCGGCCCTCCGTCCCTGGAGTGACTGCCACTAACTTCCAAGAAGCGCAATAAACTCGTGATTGCCAGCAATTGCATGCAGACCTTTCTCCCGTGCAAGGCAGACAACTTCTCTAGAATGAGGTCCTTTGTTCACCAGATCGCCAAGCAGGATGACCACCTCGCTCGCACGTAGCTTCTACAAGTTTTGGCGACGTCCTGTGCCGATAACTCAGTTCCGGCAGCCAAGCATCATCGCCATTGCCCGGCGAATACTCGCACTTGTCCTGATCAGCTTGGCACAAAGCAACAACAGACCAGCGATTGAGTACCGCATCACAGCACACCACAGCTGTGCTTTCTCGCTCGAGGTGCCAGTAGCGTCATAAGCTCATGTGCACAACCATGCACGTCGCCAATGACAATGACGCGAGCGGAACCTGTTGCCAAAACAGCTCAGTTTCTGGCTCTCTTGATTTCGTTTGGCAACCCAACCTGTCATGAGGACATGGTGTGTTGTTGCGTCACAATGACGCAGGTCAGCGATGCTCATGGCAAGAATTTGGCAGGAGCAGAACACGAGCAAAATGCTTCGAGCGAGAGACACCAATCGTCTTGCAGGCATGGTAAATGAAAGTTTCGAGTGCGCAATCGAATCTGATCGGGCATCAAGGTCCCCACAGCTTCTGGCACCATGTCCCTCGCACACATCAGTTGGCTTCAGTACCAACCCCAAGCCACTTCACAAAGAAACTGCCTAGCTTGGTCAAGGCCTCGTCAGGTCGTCGGTCTCCGCTGTTCGCAGAATTTCAAGTCTTTCCAGCTACTTTGCTCTGAACATTCGACTCATGGCTAGTGAAGGCCAGGGTGTCTTGTTCTGTGTCCTTCGGACTGCATGCAATACCATATGGAATTCTAGAGCAGCTCCTGCATATTGCACTGCACATGCTGCGAGGGCGAGCGCAAGTTGATTGCAGATACAAAAGGGACAACATCTTCACCAAACTTGCCAACAGCCCTGCTCCCAACCTCCGCCAGGAGTTGCTCCCAAACCACGAGACGACCTGAGAAAGGCTGTCTCGCAGCACTGCGCCTCGTTTCAACGCACGAGCGCCTTGTGACACGGTAAGGACTTCGGGCCTGTGTTGAGATTTGGATGGAAACGTGAAACTCTCAAGGTCTCTGCCCAGCCTCTCCAGGAGCTTACGCTGGCCTCTGGAATGTTCCACTCTGATGTACACAGTGCAACTTGCCGACAAACAGAAGAATTCAGATACTTAAGCTGGACATGCTGTCGCGAGAGCTCCAGATCTTGCTTGCAAGAGACAAGCGGGCACGTCATCATTACGTCAAGAAATTCCAGAGGAGACGGCATTTGCTCAACTTTCGGACATCGAGTCTGAAGCACACCTTAGCAGTGCAGTAGATCCGACATAGATGTTGCAGGCATGGCCCGATCAGCGCTGCATGGCCAGGCCTGGTCACCCTGCCCTGCACTCCTCTTGAAGCCAACCGCCTCAAAAAAGTCCATTGCCTCACAACAAAGTCTTGTGAGTTTTATGCCACTCTCCCTTACCAAAACACCTCTGCAGAGTGATCTTTTGGAAGCACGGCCACGATGCAAACGCAAGTGTGATTTCGCCTGTGCCAGCATCCACTCATGCGCAAAACAGGCACGGCAATCTTTCACTCGTCTAAGGCACTTGCTTGGCAACTTGCCTGATGGACTTGACCTGTAACCGCGATGTTTCCACAAGTAGCTGATGTCCGAGACAGTTCACGAATGCTGCGCTCGACAACTAAACTGCAAAAGACTTGCGATTGCGACCAAGGTTCCAGGGCTCGTCCGATGTGCTGTCGCCGGCTGGTCGGCACAACGCCCACGTATGCTACCTGCATCGTATCCCGCAATATAACGAGCATGCAAGGGCCTGCAAGGGGGGGGGGCTCAAGACAGAGGTCAGACTAGCATGAACCCCGGGCAAGACAAAGAGAGCGTAAAAGTGAGAAGGGATGACGACTCACAAGCGAGAGCCAAGATTCACCAGCACAGCCAAGAGTGAGACATTCAGTGGCCTGAAGCACCTGCTGCTCCAGACGGTGAAGGGCCAGGCCCAGAGCCTGTTGGTTTCTGGAGAGGCCAGAAAGCGGCTTAAGAGGGCAGAGCAGGCGCAGAGCCTCCCAGTTGCAGCCGGTCCCTTGGAAGCCAGGGATCTGCTACCATACTCAACGAAACTTCCAGCCAAGCTGCATCTCAAACATGCGGACACTTTCAGGCCGTTCTTCTTCGAAACGATGTCCCACCTGGCCATCCCCACCGCTTCATGAACGCCCACTTCCCTTTGTCGACGTCGTCATCTCCCGGCTGCGCAACGCATGGCAGGCGGACACGTCGAAGTTGAGCTCTGACGACGCCAGAGCCACAGCGTCGAGGACCCCTTGGTTGACCTGCTGTTCACTTCTAGGGCTCTAAGCCCTTCTTGCGATTCTTCGTGCCTTTCCCTGTCGAACGTCCGAACAAATTGACACCTGCAAGGCAAAACTCCTGTGTGCAAGCACTTCAAGGCGCCGCATGGAGCAGTTGGCCTCCATGCTCCTGGACAACAACGGCTTCGAGCTGCCTCGTCAAAAGAAGCTGATCTACCAGGCCTCTCTGTCTCTGCCCTTTTTCCAATCAGGAGGCCCGAGCTTGCTGCAGCCTCGTCTTCGCCTGACACCGGACGAGCACATGAACACCCAAGGCGAATCACTTGACTCACGACAATGGGACTCACGACAATGGGATTGTCGTGGCACTCCGGATAAGCCTGCCTCCAGGAGAACAGCGATCATGTTGAAGGGGCTCCGGCTCAACGCCATGCTCGTCCTGAGCTGACGATGACCCAAGCATACCCAAGTGCTGCACAACTCACAAGACACGTCATGAATCATCCACGAATATCCCATCGAGCAACCTCACCACCGCTGCTTGAATCAGACGAAATTACCTGAGGTGAATACCAAGCTCTTGTCATGTCCAGACACCACTCCACAGCTAGCAGCTAGCAGCTTGGGCAAATGCAGCTTCTAGCAGCTGCTGCGTTGACAATACCTCCATGCTTCTGAACAGCTTTCGCAATGGCTGGTGGTGGTTACGAATCTCACTCTGCGAAGCCTTCAGCTTTTCCAGAGCTTTCGCTTGCGCATTCGGTCCACCCCGACGTAAGCCTTGTGTAGCTTGGCTGTGGGTTGGACAAGCAAACACTTTTCATCAGAATCGGAATCCGTGCTGCAATTACCTCTCGACATCTCAATGCCTTTTACGACGAGTTTTACGACTGTTCAATTTGCTGCTGCCTTCGCGATGCTCCGGAGGTGAAGCGGAAGTCGCATGCGAAGAACGCAAGGAAAGTAAGTTCTCCTGATCATACACACTCTTTCCCCTGTGACGCCCATCTGAAAGCATGATGCACATCCTGAAACGCCGCTGCTTAACCGCCACTTGCCCCGCGACTTAGTGTCCTGGCTTCCAGCTTTCTTGTGTCGCCGTTCGCTCACCTGCTGTGTCCATTATGAAGTCACACTTGCACTGCCTTGCACCACTATCGGCCCGGCACGCCCAAGCCCGCCTTCACATAAGCAACTCTGAGACGTTCGTACCTGCGTTGAAGGAGCGTCTACCGCGACAGCTAAGCTGCAGCGCTGCTATGCCCCAGCGAAAACTGACCGGCCCACCACAACGGTACTCGAGCAGGAGCTCACTTTGCTATAATCCATCGAAGCAAAGGCTTCCGGAACCAGTACACAAAGAAGGCGACCAAAGCAATCTGAATCAGGCTCGATGGTGTATTCAGGCATGTGACATGTGATACGAAGGCAAGATCACCTGCCTGGACAACGAGAATGTTGAATTCTACCTGCTGCAGTGTGCTGTGACGTCAAGAACTGTCTGACGACTGCCAACAACAGAAACAGGCAACGAACCAGCCTGGCGCATGCTGTCGGCTTAACATGCTACGAGCATGGCTCTTTGTCCGGCAAACTGTGCACGCCGTGGATGACATGACACAATATGCAAGCACGGTTTCATCTTGTCCTGAGCGTGCGACCCTTGTGCCGATGGCTGTTAGATCAAAAAACCACTGCGAAGCGTTAGCTGAGAACACGTTCAACAAGTCAAGCAAAAAAACTTCCAAAGAAGTCGCCAGGGTCTCGGAAGCTGTCGACATCACGGAATATGTATGGCGCAAAAGAAGACCGAAAAATTGATTTCCAGAATCGCAGTACGATCCAGTCTTGTTAAATGAGAAGGAAACTTGATTCGTCGCCAAACTTGCAAATCGAAACACAAGAATACTGGAAGACTTCAAGCACAACATCACTGTGCACCCTACAAAACAAGATAGTTGAACGTCAAGCCGGCTTTCAACTCCATGCGCTTGGTGTTTGACACTCTCAGTGGGTAGCGAAGAAAATCCGCTGCAAACACGTTGTTTGTGTCCAAGGTCGTACTTCAGTCTCCAATCAGCCCACAACGACCCAGCCCAGTCTTCTTGTGCAATTTTCGTTGCAGTGCCGCCCCATAGAAAATCGAAGTTGTGAGAACGCTGCAGCTCGCTTGTGACGTTGGTCCTGCAAGTCAATGTCACAGCCGTGTTGCAGCATCGACATGAAAGGCACTCACTCGCTTCAAGTAAACAACAACACAGCGGTGAAACATGGAGGCTATGTGTCATCAGCAATTGCGGATCTCAACAGCGAAACCAGAAGAAAGCGTTGCTTTAGACCACTCGGCACCAGAGTGGAGTCCAATATGGACATTCCGGCTGCCGTTCTCATCCGTCCGTCTGGCAGCTTCCATGACAGTGGAGACGGCATTTTTTGCCATTTGCCGGGCGCTCCGCGCGCGGCGGTAGCTTCTTTTTAATTAAATTAGTTTAAAGCACGAAACGCCGCGCGCCCCGAACGGCCCACGGAGGCCAACTTTCCAGCCTTTCTACCGCGCGAAATGCCGCGCCTATTTATAGACGCCGCATTTCGTGCGGCGCACGGGGTCGGAGGCGGAGGCTCCAGGTCCAGCCTTTCTACCGCGCGAAACCCCGCGCCGATTTATAGACGCCGCATTTTGTGCGGTGCACGGGGTCGGAGGCTCCAGGTCCAGCCTTTCTACCGCGCGAAACGCCGCGCCTATTTGTAGACGCCGCATTTCGTGCGGCGCACGGGGTCGCAATTCCTGCCTTCCAACACTTTCCACACTTCCTTTTCTAGCCTTGAGAAGCCTTCCAAAGCCTTCCAACGCCTTCCTCTTTCACCCTAGCCGCAACTCCGTACACCCAAGCCTTCCCTTTCTAACCTCTAGATTCCAACTTTTCCAGCCTTCAGAAGCCTTCCAAAGCCTTCGTTTTTCACCCTGGCCTGAACTCCGTACACCCAAGCCTTCCCTTTCACCCTGGCCTAAACCGTACACCCAAGCCTTCCCTTTCTAACCTCTTCCAACCTTTCACTGCAACCTTAATTCTTCCAACAGCTTCGAACGCAGCAGAAAAACCTTCGTCTCTTCTTATTCACTCCAGCAAGCGAACTGGGCGGTCGCCGGCAACCTCCTCAAGCTGCACAGGAGGAGGGTTTACGACTTCGGCTTCTAGCACAGGAACAAAGGGTGGCTTAAAAGCAGACATGTTTTTCCACGTCACACCGCCTGTGTCTCTTTGAGACTTCCGCAGCTGACCGAAAACAGCAGACATGTCTTGTCCGCCAAACCACTGCTTAAACTGGAATAGACGGACATGCAGGCGCATGAGGTCTGACAGGTGCTTGTAGGCCTTGGCAGCATCGATGTGGCAAACACTACCAACTGCAAGCACAGGTTCGTCTGAGTCCAATAGCAAGGCCGATCGCATCTCGTGCACAAAGATGGGACCGCCTCCCCCCTTCTGCGTGCCTATGACGTCGGTGCAGCCCTGGGTCCCCCCAAACCCCTAGTGCAAAACGGGTAAGGGTTGGTCGAGGGTTCGGTTCTGGAAGCTATTTCGGAATACAGCTTACACTGTCGCATCCAACACCAGGTTTGACACTGTGTTTTGCGGTTTAAAGATAACTTAATTTTTTGTTTTGGCCTAAAATGACTGGTGTCCTGTCGTTGGCAGATCTTGTCTTAGTGGGCACTTGACAAAAACCATGATTTTGAAGCTGATGGGGTTGATCTGTCCAAAGACTTGAATATGGCTGAAATCACAGCTGGAGCACGCACTCTGATCCAACTTCTAAAATTGGACTCCTGGTTTGGGCCTAATCTAGTAGACGTCTCTTCGAGCGCCCTTGTTCTGAAAGACTCTGCTTCTTTCGCATCCCGCTGTGGTTAGTCTCGCTGTTCGCAGAAAACAGAAGTGCTAGATCTACACACTCAGCAAAAGATAAAGATTTCCGAGGTCTGCACTTGGAACCTTCAGCAAGACATCAAAATTTCAGAGGTCTGCAACTGGAACCTGCTGAGGAGAGTTGCTGCAGATGCAGCATTTGCTCCCCAGAGGTCTTCCCTGTGCACCTGCGGAAAAATGAGAGTTTGATCACTTTGCCCTCGTGTTTCATCCTGAAAAGCCCTTTTCGTTGAAGACTTCAACTATTCAAAGAGTTCGGGTTTAGGATTTAAAGTTTTAAGGGGTTTAGGGTTTAGGAGTACTGCCAAGTAACAAACAAAACATCACAAAACACAGCAAACATGCCATGAATCGCACGTTGAGCTGCTTCAGGTGCTGATTTCACGCTGCCTGCCCCGAAAAGGCACGTTTTGGAGGTGAACGGGCCTGTGAAAGGCCACCATAGGGGAGCAACCGGGAGGGACACGGGAGGGACAGTGGAGGGACAGTGGGAGCGACAGTGGAGGGACAGCGGGAGCGACGGGAGCGACGGGAGCGACAGCGGGAGCGACATTCGGAGCGACAAACGGAAAACGGGAGGGACAGGGAGCGACAGTGGAGGGACAGTGGAGGGACAGTGGAGGGACAGTGGGAGGGACACTGGACAACCCAAGCTGAACCCATAACAAAAAACGTGCGTCTAAGCCCAATTCTTGCCTCAACGTGTCATTCTTCGCAAAACCTATCCAAAATCTATCCTTGCCCTCGAAAAACATGACAGTTTAGGGTTTTTCGGGTTTAGGGTTTAGGGTTACTGCAAAAAGCACAAAACATCACAAAACGCAGCAAACATGCCAGGAATCACAAGTATTGGCGCTTAAAATGCTGATTTACTTTTTGGCGGCACAGGACTTCGGAGCTGGTTGGCAAACAGACCTTGCAAAGCTTGACTTTACACACAAGACTCCATCAGACATAAACTTTCCAGTGCTTGACTGCACGCACAAGGACCCATCAAACCGCACCTCGTCAAGGCCCTCTTGGCCTTTCTCAGGTCGCGAGAAAATCAAAAGCACTTGGCCGCTCCTAGTCCTCAAACCTTCTGCAGCCTTTCTTTTCTTTGGTTTCCCCTGTTGGGGTGGCCCAAAATCCGGCTCCAGATCATCCATGGGCAGCAATGCCAAAAAGTTCTTGCGACACGTCAAAACTCCATAGTTCCAGACTCACATGTAACATGTTGTTTGGAACCAGAAAAATCACAACAAGCATGGAATCACATGGGATGATTACAAACGAGTCCTAAACTAGCACAAAAAAATATGCTGCTTTGTGATTTTCTGGAAAAGGGCTAATATTCTGCATGCTGAAGCAAGAGCCATCGACAAATCTCAGAACGAATGATTTGCGCTGAACACGGAACACGACGAGTCCTTGTCCTCAAAATCATATGTTTTACCCTAAACCTCCAACGAACCCGGCCTCCGGGTAGGGGACCCAGGGCTGCACCGACGTTCATATGCGTGCCACCGCCAAGTAGCGCAGCCAGATAATGCCTCCAGGGCGTCCCACAGACCGAAAAGCTACTTCGTCAAGCTCAACGTCTGCACCAACACCACCAATGACCAAACTGTTGTTCAACTGCTCGATCAAAAGCACGAAACACCTGCGAAAGCTCTCAAAAAGTGCTCGAGTTGCCCGACTGTCAATTCCACACACCAAACTGGAGTCGTCTGCAGAAATGTGAAGTTTTTGACGTAAACAACCAAAGTGCTTTTGCAATGGACTGCAAGCCCAATCGATGGCCTCCCAACAAATCCTCCTCCACAGTGGTCAGTGCAACACTTTTTCGGCAACGCAAGCATCGCCAAGCCACAGACTTCGAGCGTCTTCCAACTTCCACTTTGGAAACTGGCACGCCTCTGCAGGTGCCAGGCTTTGGAGAACAGCAGTAGCGAGTGTCTACAAGGTACTGTGCCACTTGAAGAGGACTGCTTTCAGAAGGTCCGCCAACCGAGGTCCTGTTCTTCAGCTTGGTGCGTCCCAGAACAGGAAGCCGCCCTCGTTTCCTTCCAGGGCTTGTCTGCTCTCGACGCGTGTACGCAACTTGGGAAGTGCTTCGCGAGGTCGTTCTGGAGCGGGAGAGTCTTCAACAACCACAGCTTCCTGTTGCGAACTGGAAGGCTGGTCGTCACCGCTGTCTTCTACAGGAGCTCCAGGTGTGCGACGTTTTCCTGTTCTAGCTATTCTAGCTCGAACACGGCGGTCTCGACTGCGTGGACACTTGACCACCAGACCAACGTGCAGCCAGAGCGGGTTGCGCTGTGCGCTTCATGTCTGGAGTCCAAGACGAAGTTTGTTTTCGAAGCCAAAACAAACTGCACAAAACAAGGCATTCTGAATGCTTCAAAAGTTCTGTGCAAGCGGCTCTGCTCTCCGAGCGCATTAGGCGCATGCATTATCGAGGCTCGCAATCCGCAATGAAGCGAGAGAGGCCGATTCACGCAGAAAACCACGCAGGATAAAGAGCCTGGTATTGCCAGAAGCCATGCATCCGAGCATAGGTTTTTGCAGGGCGTTCGAACCCTGGGTTCGAGCAACTGGGCAAGAGGCTCGGAACATAACATTGGAACTCGAGTTGAACCCTGAGTTCAAACATTTGGAACAGAGGTTGAACTCAGAGTTCAAACACCGGTGTTTGAACCCAGGGTTCAAACACCGGTGTTTGAACCCAGGTTTCAAACACCAGTGTTCGAACCCAGGGTTCAAACACCGGTGTTCGAACCCTGCTAATACTACTATTACTATTATTACTATTACTTACGACGAATATTACTAATACTACACTTCCTAATGCTACACTTACTGCTATCCAATACTACTAATACTGATACTATTCATTCTACTGATACTAATAATACTACTAGTACTACGACCACTAGGAATACTATTAATTTCTACTTACTACTAATACTACGGAAAGGAAGAAGGAGAAAGCCACACGAAAACGCTTTTGGTGTGTTAAAAGCGAAAAAAAGAAAATAAATCTCTCAAAACCATACCAAACTACGGTGGTTGAACTCAGGTCCGAAACACAGGCATTTAATACTGATACTCTTAATACTACTGACACTAATAATACTACTACACGAGGAACACTAGGAATACTATTAATACTGCTTATACACGTAATACTACCAATACTACTGAAAAGAAGAAGGAGAAAGCCACACGAAAACGCTTTTCTGGGGGTAAAACACGAAGAAAATAAAAGAAATCTTTCAAAACCATACCAAACCACGGTGTTTGACTCAGAGTTTGAACACCAGTGTTTGAACTCAAGATTCGAACACCGAGTGTTCGAACTCAAAGTTCGAATGGGTGTTCGGACTTCGAACTTGGAGTTTGAACATTCACGATTTGGAGTTTGAACTCGAAGCTCAACCTCAAGTTTCGGAGTTCCGAAACGAGTTCAACTCTGAGTTCAACTCGAGACATCGTGCGACTTATGCCGACATGGACTGGATGAGATCAATGTACGCACAGTGACGATCAACGCCACTGCAACGTTCTAGATCACAGTTTACGCCAAAATCGAAAACAAAGCCAGTAATCGCACGAATACAGTAAAGTCTCCCAATCGCGAGAATGTGAAGCCTAGACGGCATCCAATCCAGTAGTCATGTGACTAACAGCCCTGATTGCCAAAGTGCCAACCAGAAAAGTGCAGTCACCATTTTAATTGATTCAAGATTTAGTATTCAGCCTAATATAGTTTGGTATAATACTATCCTAGCTATATATATACACATAAAAATAAAAATAATAATAATAATAGTAATAGTAATAATAATAGTAATAATAATAATAACTCTATGTGTATATATATATATATATATTACATATTAATATGAATATGTATACTGTTATTTCTTATTATATTATATATCGGTATACATCGTGTTGTATCTTATAAAGCTGTGTTTTGGTCGGGTCGCTTATTTTATGTACAGGACACCTGAAAAACCATTCCTGTGCGCAGGTCCTGTCCTTTGGCACACAGATCGCCATGGTCCACCCAATGCAAGCAATAGGAGATCGCACACAAGTAATAGGAGATCGTGCGAAAGTCCCAAAGTCCTCGTCATGGCAAGAACCACGTGGGCTCTCAAAACCAAAAATTGTGCGTAGAATGGTCGTGCCACACAACGCGGTGACCAGCAAACAGACATCAGCAATCTCCTCAGCATCCGATCGAGCCACAAGACTTTTGTTTTGTTGCCCAGAAACGGTCTCTTGGACTCATTTTTCTTGCATATCCACTGGAGATGAGGAACCTTTAGGAGCTTTTGAAGCCAATCGAGATCTTTGACAGCTGCAACAAGATCGTCGCTTCTGTCTGTCGGATTGTCGGATTGCCAAGATCTCTGGAGTCAGCAACAGCCAGAAACTTAAGATCATCGAAGCCTCAAGTCTACCTGAAGCTCTTACGGGACCTCTTTGCGTTCTTCCAGTCTCTTGTAGACGCCGTTTGTAAAAGACTCAAACTGCGACCCACGGACAAGACTGGTTCTTCCAGATCTTAGACATGGAGAAAAGGTAAAGCCAGGCGGCAGCTTTCTCCGAAACGCGCTCAGCCGTCTGGCGTGCCAACTTGTATTTTGGCTTATGCTTTTCTCTGCGCTTCTTTTCGACTGTGGTGCAAGCTGAAAGACTTCAGGGCGAAAGCATGCAGACCAGCAAGCCAGAAAAAAGGCTTGCGGGACTTGAGAGTGCACCTGTGAAAGCACATCAGAGTCAATGGGATCGCAGACGACACTGGTAACAACACCAGTGACCAACAGCCAAATGCTCGTTTTTGAGAGGCAGGTTAGGAGTTGCACAAGCCGCGGAAAACCCGTTTTTCTGCATCATGCCTTGGAGAATGCAAAAGCAACCTGCACCCCACAAGCGCACTTCTTGTGTCGGTGTTTCAAAGGGCCTTCAAAGTGCAGTTCTGGGAAACCAAAAGCCACAACAAACGTGTTGAAAACGCAGGACAACACAGAAACCGCACGAAATGTGAAGCAGATCGGACTGTTCAAAACTTCTGCGAGAAACGGTCACAGGCCGGGTCCGGTCCAACAACCTGTTTGCACACGTTTTCGCAAAATAATGAACAAAGAACCAGAAACTCAAACAAAACGCAATCACGAACACAAAAGAAGAAGAAAGACAAAATCGCTTTATGGTGATCTTTGCGAACAAAAAATAATGATGAAAGAAAAGTTAATGAAACAAAACGCAATCACAAATACGAAACAAAACGAAAATCAAAAGGAACTACAAACTCGAACAAAAAACACAAAAGAAGAAGAAAGACAAAATACCTTTATGGTGATCTTTGCGAAAAAATAATGATGAAAGAAAAGTTAATGAAACAAAACGCAATCACAAATACGAAACAAAACGAAAATCAAAAGGAACTACAAACTCGAACAAAAAACACAAAAGAAGAAGAAAGACAAAATACCTTTATGGTGATCTTTGCGAAAAAATAATGATGAAAGAAAAGTTAATGAAACAAAACGCAATCACAAATACGAAACAAAACGAAAATCAAAAGGAACTACAAACTCGAACAAAAAACACAAAAGAAGAAGCCACATGAAATCGTTTTGCGGCGCTTGAAATCATGATTCAAGAGATTCGTGCTCGTTCCGTGTGCAGGCGACGCGCCAAGAGTGTGATGGTCCAGAAGATCCCAATAACTCTCTTTCGTGTGGCTTCTTCTTTTCTGTGTGATTACGTTTTGAATCATTAATTCTTCTTTCATCATTTTATTTTCTCGCAAAAACCCATAAAGCGAAACCGTGTGGCTTCTTATTGTTCTCAGACCGTGCTTTGAATTGTGTTGTCGTGTTTGAACCTTCAGGGATGAATGCTTGCACTCACAACATGTCGCATGCAAGACGTTCAGAGCTCAACGCTATTTTCACACAGCGGGGTAGAAAGTACAGCACACTGCAGGTATCAGATTCGAACTGTCGGTCCTGTGAGACACACGACTCTTTTTGTCCCCCCCGGAAGGGGCACTAGCCACTCTCAAGCCGTGCACGGCTCACATACTGAACCTTAGTGAACGGCCTGCAAGTCGAAGACAAGCAAAGCCGAACTAACTGCAGAAGTAACAGGTCAAACACCCGAACCAGGTCTCCAATGCACCAGGCACACCTAAGTGACCTCAAACCGAGATCAAGCCGTCCTGAGGCAGCAGAAGAATGATATGACTTCTCAACTTGTACCCAGGAGGCTCAAAAACTTTCTTAAAACCCGGAGGGTTTAAGGAAAGGGTTTAAGGAACAGGGAACGACAGCAGTGCGCACAAGAAGACTTCGTTTTGGTCCGCACAGCCCGACATCACACAGTGCAAAAGACACCTCCTGCATAAAGGAGATGACGAGAGGGATTTTGCCCCCCCATCCAGATTGGGCTGTTATGAACAGACCATATGAGAAATAATATACAGGGTGGGCCGGGTGGGACACTAAAAGGACTAAGAGTCCCCTTCCGGTTGATCCAGAATGTATCGGCGTAAGATATATCATTGAACTGACAAGGGGCGAATCGCCCTCAACTCAAATAACATAAAATCATAGGCGACTGGAATGATAAATCAAAGATTTGGAAAACACCTCCTTTGAGGAGGAGTGTTCAAAGATAAAACTTCTTTAAAATCATCTTCACCTGAATGTTTCGCCAAAGGGAAAACTGAAAAGTATCGCGAGCAAAGAACACTGAAAACTGCAAACAACTGACATGACTGACATAACTGACATGACTGAGAGCAACTGCATGCAGGCCGTGGACCGAAGCACGATGGCTGAAGCGTACAGAACTGATGGTGGTCTCAAGCCCCCATTGTTCCCCCCCTCCCCCCCGGGCCTCCTTGGAACAAACTGTTTGGTCCGCTTCGCTACCCAAACTAGGCTTGTACCCAGGAGGCTCAAAAACTTTCTTAAAACCCGGAGGGTTTAAGGAAAGGGTTTAAGGAACAGGGAACGACAGCAGTGCGCACAAGAAGACTTCGTTTTGGTCCGCACAGCCCGACATCACACAGTGCAAAAGACACCTCCTGCATAAAGGAGATGACGAGAGGGATTTGCCCCCTTTCGCAGACGAGGGCATCTCCTTTCCCTCATCCCCACTGACTTTTCTCGAACCTTATTCGAGGAGCTGAGGTTGTTCCATCATCCGCAATCGAGGCCTTGATGGAATCAAGTTCAGACTGAAAGCTCGCGAATCTCAAGAGAGACGGCAGAACTGATAAGGTCATATCTGACCAGCTGAAAGGCAGTCTCAAGTTTTCATCGAAGTCCTCGAAAACATGTTTGGTGATGCGGTCCGCCTCCTGGTTGGAGTCCCTGGGTCTCCAGCTGAGGTTGCATCTGAAACCCAGAGCGTCACAAAAGGTGACGAACTCCATCACCACAAACATGAGAGGCACTCGAGTCGTGAGCAGCTTGCAAGACAGCGCCTCGGCAGATTTATTATCAGTCCCGCCACAGAAGCAAGCACGGAAGTGTCCAGGAACTGACCAGAGATCCTTGAAGTCACGTCTCAACAAGTGTAGCGCCGCAAGCGAAGCAAGAACCTCAGCCGAAGTGCTCGCCCACGAACTGCCCGAATCCTTCTTGAACAACCAAGGAGCGTCGTCCCTGCTCAAAGTGATCTGAAACCATGGGGCCTTCTTTGGCTCCGGCCCTTTGTGCAAAAACCATCCGCCCAAGACAACCGAAGAATCATTGCAAGCGGCATCCGTGCGGAAGAGCTCCCCACAGTCCTTCTCAAGACGGCCCGATTCGTAAGTACGAGCACCGTGCCTCAAGCGGTCAGCGATAAACCTCAAGACACAACGGATAAGATTGGGAAGCGCGAGCACAGCTCCCTTCCTCACAGCAGCCAGCCAAGCGTAACCAGGAGCCAAGAAGGGCCTAATCCAAACTAAGACCTGGGACATGAAACCGAGTCTCCCGTGAAGCTCATGAAATCGTCGGACATCCACAAGCGAGCCGTTTCCCTCCATGGATTCGATGCCACTGATGATCCAATGGCACCTCCTTTCAGATATTCCCAGCTTGAAGCGTCCATAATCAATCCAATAACCGACCCAATCAAGTTGCAGTCCCCCACCCCACTTTCGTTCTGAGAAGGGGGTCCCCTGAAGGCATAGTAGCGCAAGGGACATCCAGAGATTGAGCCAGCGATCGGGTCCCCCGCTGAGCACGTGTAGATCATCGGCATAAATGAGCATGAAGAGGAATGACTGAAGGAGAACTCTGAGGGAAAGCCTGCCCACGAGACCGATGATCCGCGCAAACCAATAAGCCGCTGAAGCAATTCCGAAAGTCCCAGTGCGATTGACCCAGACCACAGAGGAATCGCTCCTCGTTCTGCAGGAGAGCACCCCCCAATGGTCGGGATGGTGCAAGTAGCGCCTGTGCGCCTTTTTCACGTCCCCCACGAGACCGAAGAGGACTTTCTCATCAGACACGCTGCCCAGCTTTTGGATCGCGGACACTTCCCTAGCCCCTGGCGATTCAAGACGGTCCAGCATAACAATCTCATTGTTAACGTGGACCCCGTGGGTCCCATCATGGACCACACGAAAATCTTGGTCAGGTTTCGGAATCACCGCCTGCGCTGCAATACGAAGTGCCGCCCCCGGATAGCGGGCCCGGGCCTCTGAAAGAGAGAGTGGGAACATACGGCCTTCTGCCTCTTCTTTTGCAAATGCTTCCTCAAGCGATTTTGCAACCTCAGGGCCGTCCCGATAATTATCCATCAGCGGTTGCCAGTCGGACTCATCGTATTTCTGATCCTTTCGACGAGCTCTGAAGACTTGAGGGACCGGCCCCAATGGCGCAGTGTGTCCGACCTCCACACCATTCACGAAGCAGAACTTGCCCTCCTCGATGATGCGGTAGTCGGGATCCTCCAAGATTTTTAGGGTCTGTGCCATTGCCCTGAAGTAGAACGGCTGATGAGGAATCAGCTCCCTTGCTCGTGCAGGATCCGGCAGCATGCAGAACCAGTCCTCGCGAAGTTTGTCCATTGCCTCCGGAGCGAACAAGGGACCATTCCAATGCCCCGTCGCCAGACGAAAAGTCGCTTTTGCCAGATCAGGCACGTTTTCAAGAACAAACTTTCGAACACGATCTTTAAGCTGTTGTGCAAAGGAAGTGGCGGCAGGAGACATGTGGCGCCCCCGGCAGATAGGTTTCCAACGCCCCGGCGAGCATCTACCGAAGCCGTCCACAAACTCGTCAGTCGCCCCTGCAAACTCGCCCACCAAGGGCGGTCCCTCACAGCCAGATTTCAGCTCACTATAAGGTAGGTCCTCAATCTCCTTCCCATCGTCGCCAGCATCCCCTGCGGTCGTGGTCTCGCAGTGGTCCCGCTTTCGCTTTCCTGGCAGGTCGAATCCCAAGTCAAGTAAAGCATCCCGGTCCGATTCAGCGAGCTGCCCATCGTTCGCAATGGTGTACCCGGCCAGGACCAAGCGACAACCTTCCCAGTCCTCCGTGGAATGCCAGACATGTGGATCGAAGGTAATCTTGCCGCCGTCCCAGTCCAGGATATGACCCGACAGCCATGAACCACTTATGAAACGACGGACCGAGCCGCCCTCCGACTGAACCCAAAGACCGCCCCCCGAAAACCCTGAACAGGCCAAAAGCAGATTGTCAAAAGGTCCGTTCGTGGTGTCCCGATGCGGCGGTTGCTTAAGATCACGAAAGAATGCTAAAGAAGTGAAGGGTCGGCCAGGGAAGCCACACGAGAGCAGCTTGGCCAAAAGCTCTGAAGACAAAGGAAAGCTCCTCGTGTTGCGCCTGATGCCAACCTTGTCAGAGTGAACAAAGGCTCCTGCAGTGAACGATCGCTGACCTTCGATCACCCTAGAAGTCTGTCGAACTCTGTCTTCATCCGGCAGCAATTCAGAGATGCGCAGAAGTTGCCCGTGCGAAATTGTCCCGCTCCTCAAGCATTCTGCAGCAAGTCGCTCCGCAGGGGAAGCGCCCGAGCCAGCCTCCACCTCCCTCGCTGGAAACTGAAAACCCGGTCCCAGCACCAGTGTAGGAGCCAATGCAGCCAGTGTTCCCCCCCCATCGAAGACGGAGAAACACCATTCAGCAATGGTTCTGCACAAATCGTCCGGGTAAGCTGCAGCCGCGGAAGTAGCGGCAGGCCCGAGCAGTTTTTGCCGATGCCGATGACCACAGTATTTCGGCAAAGGGCCGAGGTATCGATCTGAAGCGTCAAACCGAGGCGGCCCAGTGAAGGGCATTCGAGAAGTAACCGGAATAGAAGACAGAAAACGTGTGGGCTTGGGCGAAAACGCCCCATATTGGCATTGGTATACTGCGAAAGTGATGACATTCTCATGCTTGAAAAGAGCAACGGCCTCCGGTAGCTGCCAAATGGAAGCCGGAGCATGACCGTTGGAAGTGAGCCCCAGATCTTCAGGATGCTCAAGTAGGAAAGGTACTGAATTCGAAAGCGCATTTGTGCAGATGTAAAAGGCAAAAGAAACAAGCTGGTTGCCATGTTCAACAAGAGCTCGGTGAGAATCGGATAGCCAAGGAAAGCCCCGAGGATAAAGACGTGATCTCAGTGGCCGAGGACCCGGCTGTACACACCGAGCCCGCGAAAAGGTCCCACAGGGTGGGGTCACCAAGACCACATCCCACTCAGAGTTCTTAACCTCCTGCAAACATCGATCGGCGATGGCAGGATCCAAAAGGTCTAGCTTGGGATCGCGGCAGATGTCAATTTCTGACATTACCAAAGTGATACTCTGTGCCTTGCAAAGCGCCTCCAGGGAGCCACGAACATCCGATTTGCGAGACGGACCTGAAAACAGATACAGCACGCGAAGCGTAGGACGTATCCCTGAAGTACACTCGCCAACTGAATTCAACGGACCACGGCGAAGTCAGGAGCCACCTTGCGCGCCGTGTTGATATGCCGGATGGTTGCCCTGGCAGCCCTTCACGCGACACGCGTGGACGCGCTGGCATCCCTTGACCTGACATCCACGCTTGATATTGTAGGCATAACAAAGCTCACGACCATCCGGAGTCTTGGCCACCAACTCATACCAGGACTCCCCGACCTGAATCTTGCCAGTGGACTTGCCCCCTTTGCCGTCCTTGCCACCCTTGCCGTCCTTGCCGCCTTTTCCCCTTTGCCGTCCTTGCCCTTGCGGGGCCACTTTGGAGGGGGAGGATCATGAGCGGCCGAACGTTTTGACAAGGCGACCTGAGAGGTGAAGTGGAGCTCCTTGAGCTCGGTATTCCGGGTGGCCTCATACAACTTGTCACCGAGCGGGGTCCCATCGCGATGAGCCTCCTTGATAGCCCACTTACGAAGCTCAAACTCGTACTGAAGCAGGACATTCCAAGGCACCGACAGTGCCTGTTTCTCCGCATGAGAAGAGCTTGCGGGAGCATTGGAAGCCACTTGCATGCTGTAACACTTGTCACCCAATAGGAACTCAAGGAAACGATCAAAGTGTGACAACTGCAGCCCCTGCAAATATGCACGACCGCGACACTTGGCTGAGAGCATGACCCAAGTGGAGGCCTCGAGACGAAGCTTCGCCCGCAGCTCCTCCGTATTCTGCGGAAGGCGACCTTTTGGCTTCTGTCGCATGACCCGAAGCCGGCCCTGATTGTCCAAGGAAGTCTGAAGTTGAAGCGAGTTGGACTCTTTTCGAGAGATAACTTCATCAAGATAGCTGGCAGTGGGCTCGCCATTCTCAATCTGTTCAAGCTTGTGTGCCAAGTACTCAGGCGCCGGCTCCTCGGACTCCGGCACGGTGTAGCCTCGAACAGCTTCCAGGGCGACCCGCATGGCCGCGCGATCCGAAGAGGCGAGTGGCTTCTGAACACCCAAAACCTTAGCCTCAGCACGAAGCTTAGCTTCCTCCTCTCGAATCATCTTGGAAGCTTCCCAAGCAGTGATGATGCATGCCATCCTAGCTCGATCCGCAGCGCTCTCAGGCCTGATAGCGAAATCGGCTGTAATCGCAGTACGTGCTGCACCACGATCATCGGCGAAAGCAGCAAAAGTGCGAATGCTCTTGTAATGTTGACCGATAGCAAACTGAAGTGCCAGATCGACCCCATGCTCCTCAAGAAGGAACACAAAGTCTGCATCCACATTAGCCTGAAGATATGCACGTTGTGCAGCTGGGTCCGCGGCCATGGCGGACCACCGCGGTTTGTCTACGATCGAGTTCCCTAAAAGTCTGACAGATGTCCTGATGCTGAAGGCTGAAACCCCGGAGGGAAACTGAAAGCGAAGCAAGCTTCTCAGATCTGATAGTTGTCACCACGTGACACTCATGTCCTGATAACTGAAAGGGATCCTTGAGCAAGTCACCGGCATCCCACAGAATTTGCGCAGCGTGACGCCCGAGCTGAAAGCATCAACAAATGGACTGAAAGTGCACTGAAAGTCGCACGCAGAGCGCACTCCCATCTTTGTTCACACACACTTCCAACGAGTTGCATCACGTGTGAAAAGACGGGTCAGCCACCTCGAGTGGTTCTGATGGCTCACCCAAATCCGTGGAGGAAGATTCCCCCGAACTCGAAGATGAGCTCTCCTTATCGCGATAGCATAATTTGCAGAAACTGTCGGCCACTGAGGAGTCAACCTTCCAAACCTCAGCGAAACGGTGACAGCTACCGGGAGTGACCCAGCAACCATTCCGTATGTGCAGTCGCCTGTGCCCTGAGTGCCTGCTGATGCTCACCCAGAAAGGAGACTCCCCAGAATCTTGTGAAGAGTTTGAAATCAACGGGGCCGGGGCAGCGTCGTCCGACCTCTCGGTGATGTCATGAAGCAGTGGCCATCTCTGATTCAAAACCTTGCATCCATCCACGGTGCGCATAACGGAATGAAGCTTAATCCAAGGTTCAGGGTCCAAGCCTCTCCTCTGAAGCCAGGCCCTAAGCTCATCAAACAACTCCTCCTCATCGTAGCCAGGTTTGCCGCCCGAAAGTTTGTCACAAACCCGACGCTGCAAATCATGCACGATCTGGCGACATGTGTGTATGTAGTCCGCACTCTGATGCAGACCAACATGCCACCTGCCAAGATAATCCCTCTGCTCCTTTGGAACACCAAGCACCGCTGCAATCGTTGGCAAAACATGTCTCATACTGTGACCTGTCCAGAAAAGATAGCACTCATCACCCAGTAGCTTACCATCAGCCCTGGATCGCCAAACACCTTCACCAAGCTTCCTGAAAGGGACCAAAAGTTGGCCCCAAATAAGACGCATGTAATTGCTAATAACCTCCGGCTTGGCGAATTTGTAAGATGGCTCTTCAAAATCTTCAGAAGACTGGAAAACCAAAGAAGTGCGATCAAGCTGTCCCAGGCCTTTCCACAAATCAAATCCAATGCCCAGCCAATCACGTCCTGAAAGCCCGACACACCTGCCTATAAAGAAAGGAACTTCGGCCACCTTCTTATCAGGTCCTGTCGTCTTGGTCTTCACTAAAAAGCCCTTAAGCCCCTCACGAAAAAGCCTAAGGCGAGAAACGTCGATTCCTTGCAGATCAGAGACACGCATGCAAGCCCATACGCAAACCAAGCAGGCCCACATCAGGCACCGAGCATAATGAGGGTTCGTACCAGTCACCACAAAAATTTCCAAAGATAATAACATCGCCACCGAAAGGGGAGCCGCCTGCTTCCTGCTGGTTTTCCCCTCCTGCACTTCAGCCCCGGTGCTCTTTGAGGCCGCGACGACCAATCGGTTCTTGCACAGCTGATTTGTCAAAGGAACCTGTCCAGCATCCTCAATGACAGACAACGCGCTCATAAGCTCAGAAATGCAGCTCTTTGTACCCACCTCCTGCTCCAAGAAGATGAGGTAATCTACAACGTCAGAAGGGCTCTTCGGGAAAGGGTAACCTTTCACTGAAAGCATCCAGTCACGAGCCTTGCGCCAGGTCCTCGCGCGATTCCTGAGTGTCTTGGACCTCCGAGCCCCCAGAGCTCGGAGAGCATAAGAAACACGCTGCTCCTCATTCTCAACCGGAATGTCAACGATAGGAAGCTTTGCCTCCACCATGATCTGAACCAGGACAGTTCCCCAAAACTTCTTAGAAGATTTTTCTGCATCCGCCGGGGTCAGGGCGCCATTCGAAATCCATCTAGCATGTGCACGACTGGTCTGCTTGCAAAGATCAAGACTATTGCTCACGCACTGATCAAAGATATCACAAGGGGACACCGAACTTCCAGGGGTCGCTTCAATTCGTGTGGCCTTCGCAGTAAGCCTGCTTTGCACCCGCTTGAAAAGACCTGTGTGAGCAGTCATCCACTCCCAGATCTGAGATCCCAACCGTTTGTGGTCCGAAGGAATCGAACCCGGAGTGATCTGCTCTGCCAATCGCACCGCGTCTTCAACACTATCCACTGCGCATGCCAGGTGCCAAGGAGTCTGAAAATGCATGCGAAGCAAACCCACAGCACTGCAGCCCTTCTCTTCAAGAAGGCCCCACAGCCTATCTTCCATTGCGCGAAGAAGCCTGAAAAGGCGCCCCCCAGACACTAAAAGGACTAAGAGTCCCCTTCCGGTTGATCCAGAATGTATCGGCGTAAGATATATCATTGAACTGACAAGGGGCGAATCGCCCTCAACTCAAATAACATAAAATCATAGGCGACTGGAATGATAAATCAAAGATTTGGAAAACACCTCCTTTGAGGAGGAGTGTTCAAAGATAAAACTTCTTTAAAATCATCTTCACCTGAATGTTTCGCCAAAGGGAAAACTGAAAAGTATCGCGAGCAAAGAACACTGAAAACTGCAAACAACTGACATGACTGACATAACTGACATGACTGAGAGCAACTGCATGCAGGCCGTGGACCGAAGCACGATGGCTGAAGCGTACAGAACTGATGGTGGTCTCAAGCCCCCATTGTTCCCCCCCTCCCCCCCGGGCCTCCTTGGAACAAACTGTTTGGTCCGCTTCGCTACCCAAACTAGGCAAGTATGAAGAGAAAAACAGGGTGGCGAGAGTGGGTATTTCAAATAAAATCTATCACTTCTATCCCGGGCTTCCTGCCTCTTGAGAGGTCTCGCTGCAACGAGCGAATGCATTCTTCACTTGAATCAACAGACATGGAGGATAATGAAAGCTCAATGTAAAATGAAAGCCCTAAAACAACAAACCAAAATTGATTTAGTTCTCTAAATCATCTTGTCATGTTGTTTCCACTCCCACGCGGCAAAGCACACACAGTCGTCGTCTGTGAAATTGCCTGGCGTCGGCCGAAACGCCGCAGCTTGCTACAAAGCAGGCTTGTGCTGCACTAACTACCCGACTAAGTCAGTCAAAGAGAAGCTGCTCTTCTCCTACACAAGACGGAACTGCAAGGAGAGGCACTGTGCCTCCTTGCTCAGAAAAAGCGTGACTGGAAGGAGAACCAAACAGGAAACAGGAAGAGAACTGGGTGAGAACTGCTCCCACGAAGACGGAAAGAGATGAGGTCTCGAACCAGCATTACAAAATGCAGCGATGGTGGAACCTCAGCGTGTCCCTGCTATCTTGTGCTTCACGTTGGTGGATTTCTCGGCTTGCGCGTGTCATCCTTGCGCAGGAGCCATGCTAATCTTCTCTATCTCGTTCCTCCACCTTCGGAAAGCACACGGCCTCAACTGCTGAAGCAGTGCGAGCTTCGCGAGAACATGCTTTGATTCATGCATGCTTTCACTGAAGAAGTGTTGACACCGTTTGGGGCTAAAGGCAGCTCCAGCACAAAAACCGTGCATGGGTCCCGCCTCGCCGTTCATTTAAACTTTTAAAACCTAAACGGGGTGTGGGACCCGGCTCCAGAAAAATGGGACCCGGGTGGACCCAGGTGGGACCCGGATGGGACCTGGTGGGACCCGGTGGGACCCGGATTCGATCTGGCTAGCAAAGTATGGGACACGTGACAACCAGATGAAACTTCTTGTGTGGGAAACATGGGACCCGGTGACACCCGGATAAGACCCGGCGAGCAAAAAAACGGGATTCGGTGACGCAGAAGGTGGGACTTGGATGGGCCCGGGGGGACCCGGTTGGGACTCCTTGCAAAAAGCGGGACCTTGTGACCGCTCAGATGATGTGGCCTCAAAACCACACGTTGATGTGGCTTGAGAACCACACGTTAAGTGGCCTTGATGTGGCTTCAAAACCACACGTTTGTGGCTTATGTGGCTTCAAAGCCACACGTTTGTGGCCCGGATGTATTAAAGGGGTCACCAGAAGCCTCGGACCTGAACGAGCACGTGGGCTGCCTTTCTTCTTTCTTTACTACAGAGAATTCTAAGCCGGAGCTGGCTCCAAGTCCACTTGCTGGAGTTAGAAAAGGCTTCAACAAGCTTCGATGATCTTGCAAGCTATTGGCTATTGCTGACTCCATAGAGCCATAGATCTTGGCAATCCTAGACAGGAGCTTCGATGATCGTGTCGCAGCGATGCATCCTAATAAACGTCAAAGATCTCGATTGGCTTAAAAAGATCCTCGAGATACCTCGATGACATTGCAAACTGACACTGATCTCCAGTGGATATAGAAGCAGGATGAGCCCAAGAAATGATGCTGCGGACGACCCCGTTTCTGGGCCCACGAAACGAAAGCAATTCTGGCTTCGCCACAATGGGCCTCCCCAGTAGAAACCTCCTTTCTAGAGGACTGGAAATAGGAACCCAAGTTGCAAGTGAGACTGCTTGGATTGTCAGTTCGGTTTTTAAGAGGTTTTATGCGTGACGTTCCTTCGGTGGTCGCGTTTCGTGGCATGCTCTCTTAGATTTTTGTGAACGGTTTTGTAATAAGCTTCTTGGCTTTGGTTTTCCCACGACACGAAGAATCTACGTCAGTTGACTTAAAAACGTAAAAACTGAGGGGATATGCTTCTCTTACCACCGAAACCGTGTCACTGTTGCCACTTTTCAGATGCAATTGTGCAAAAACATAGGAAAACGCTTCTTCCAAAGCGAAACCGTGTGACAGTTGCCCAATTCTGCCCAAAACCCAAGGAAAGTACGCATTCGAAAATTTTTTAGGCGGCTCTATGCAAAGCAGACACAAGTCAGCGTACTCACTGTGACTAGGAGAAGAAAGCGCTAGACCTAAGGAGCTTCTTGCACGTTGGCAGTCCCACTAACTAAGACCAAGCCGGACGGTTAACAGCCAGCCTGTGCAAAAGGAAGGCAAAAGGAAAACTAGGGGACAGAGAGGTCATGGCATGTGGAGTATGTGAGAGCCAGTGCCATGCTAGTTCGGCACTACTCGGCCCAGTGAAGTCTACGACGTTTCGGCCGTATGCCTGCCTGTTACTGTACGCCTCTTTATACAAACGCCTTTGTAAAAACACAGTTTCGCTCCAGGTTGCTCGGAGTTGCTCTCAAAACGTGACCAAACAACTTTAAGTTGTGCTCTGTGGATGTGGTGTGTGAGGGGGAGCTGGTCGGCAAGGGCTCTGACGCCTTCGTTGCGGATGGTCTGTGCGTGGGGGTTGTCTGTGAGAACCTTGGTGTAGAAGGTGGCTTTGATCCTTTGGATCTTGCGGAGTGACTGTGAGTGGAAAGTCTCAATCCTGTGGAGGTCTGCTGTGGTGCGCGCTGCGGACTCCATGCCATAGGCAATCATGGGGATGAAGACCGCGTTGTAGATGCGCAACTTCCACGCTACACTTAAGCCTGTGTGTCTCCAGAAGGCGTGCAGGGTGCTGAAGTGCTTCCGGGCTTTCCGAAAAAGAACGAAACTGCAACAAGCCCCAGCAAAACCCCTTACCAAGCACAACACTCGGACAGAGACCTTCGTTTTGCTGCACTCCACACGCAGTTCCGGTCTTGAGCCAAAGTCGACACAAAGTCTTCCAGCAAACCGAGGTGCAAACTACCTAAAGGTGGCTCGGAGCTCTCTAAACAACTTCCCATGGGCCAAAAGCACCCTGGTACTACCAAAGCTCCTCAGAACGTCCGAAAACAGGGAAAACCTACAGGACCTACGGCCTTAAAGCGAAAAGAGTCCCTCACACTCCAAGTGCCAGGAAACTAGCCGAGAACTGTTCAGGTTTCTACAGATGAGTCGGACGCCCACCATATCCTCCCAAACAGAGGATATACGTTTACACCCCCTCTGGGCGTTCGGGTCAGTCACCCTTCTTTGTAGACTCTTGAAGCCTCGAAGGTTCCCGAGCGCAGAAAAGACAGATCCTGCGTGTCAGCGGCGTCGTATGCCGAATGCTTGGACAATCACGTTTCACGTGATAGCAAGCACCTTTGGAAGTCAAGTAAAGTACTGGCCATTCTGGCTCTGCCAGACAGCGGGCGTACAGACAGCGACCAACCCCTAGGAAGACGCACCCTGTCACAAACCCTGCGGCAAAAGTCAAGACAAGCAGTCTCTCAAGAAGCGGTGCTTCATTCTGCAAGTCGACGAAAGAAAGAGAAACCATGGCATCCTTGAAAGCCTGGAGACCGTAGTGGTCCATTCCGGCGGGACTACCAAACCCTTAAAAGGAAAAATTTTGAGTGGAAATGGCTGCGAAGAGGAACTTAGTCACTCTAAGCTCTCCAAAACCCTTCTACACAGAAGTTCGGGGTAGTGCTGAGTATCTCGAAGCACAAAGCGCATAGAATGCTCGTGAGAGCCGTCACAGCGCAAAGCAGAAAGCTGAGTCGCGACCCTCTCGTGTGTAACCCTAACCCTCCAACGCTTAGAAACCAAGAGCCCATCGCACCCCTGAAGGCCAACGGAGCACGCATCCACAATCGAATCATGGATCTGGTACTTCTGTAGCTTAAAGTAGTGCTGGGTCTGCTTCCAGGTCCAATAAGCGCATTTCATTGGCCACTCGATAGCCCAATGATCAGAAAGATCACACATCTCTCGGACAGCGATCCACAGCTTCCGGTGAACAGCCCAAAGGCCGTCAAGATGCTTCTGGTAACTGTCTCCGTACCTCTTGAGGTTCATCCGCTGATACGGGCATCCTCCAGTGCATGGAGTCGAGCTCCAGAAGAAAACCCTCATGCCGCGACCCCTTGCTTTCCCCACAATGGCAACGAGATCTTCTCGAGTTTCTTTCTTCGTTCCATCATCGGCGGCGGTCACAGTCAAAAGATGAATCTTCGGAAACTCCCTAGCACAGACCCTGGAAAACCCTGACTCAAGCGGCGCGCAAAACTCCACAAACAGCCACTTCTGTCCCTTTTGAGGTCTAAACCGTTCCATCAACGAAGAAATCCCTCCCTTCGCAACACAATTCCGCAAAATTGTCATTGCCAACCCCTTTACCCCCTCTGGAAGCAAGGCGGCGCGCAGACCCACATGATGCATGTGCTTAAGTGTGGAGGCTAAATCTAAGTTCTTGGTAAAGATATCCGCAGGATTCTCAGTGCCACGCACAGAAACCACGCGGAGGGATCCGGACTGAACTTCTTGTTGGAGAAAACAAGACCTGATATCGATGTGGCGTAGCTTGCGAAGACCCTCAGCTTGGCTGATTGCAACGGC